CCTCATAAGTATTGTTTTGGGAAACTTACAATACCAAGTCGACGCCCATACTCCCAAAGTAAAACATCATACTTCTCTCGCGAGATCTTTTTCTGGCAAAAAAATTCCACATCTCCCATAGACTCATAGTACATCTCGATACCAAATGGTACATGGAACTCTTTGCTTTGTTTGCGCATGATCTGCCAAGCAATATCATTTGATACAAGCTCCAGAAGGCACCTGATTTTTAACGTGAAAGCTGCCTGAAAACAAATTTGAGTTATACGATAATGTCTTTCGAAGAACTAAAACAAATGGGAACATACCCTGGTGAGATTGAAGAGCAGTTTGGCAGTGAAGTTTGGTTTGAAATTCTGGGAGAATTCATTCTCAAAAATACATTCTTTGTTTGGTTTGAAACTCTGGACAAATTCAACATCATAGTCCAGCAGGGCAGTTTTTGTGCAGTTTCATCAGATGTGTTAGAAGTGCAGTATTCTTTGCAAAAGATGATGATCCTCTCAAGGATATGGCTTGTAATGTTTTTGAACTTGATCTCCATTTATATTCCATTTTTACTATCAATCTCCATATTCTTGATGAACATTCTCAAAGATATGAGCTCACTCGTAGCTTTTATGGTTTTTCCGTCGTAACAAAAGAGGTAGATTTTCAAGCATGGGAAAAATCCGTCTTCTTTTAATGGTAGGAAACAAGGTCTGGATTCCACCTTGTTGACGAGCTTTGCACTCATTGATTCAAAAGTCTTGGCAAATTAGGTAGGTCTTTTTTTCGCAGACAATATCCAAGCTATCAAACAAAAACTTTTGAAAAAAAAAGGAAAAGTAAGCAACAAAAGAGTATCGGGTTTGAATGTTGAATTCTAATGTTTGGGTTAAATATCAAATAAAAAGTACCATATTAACAAAATTGAACTTCAACAGTTTTAAGTAATATCTATTAATTTTTTGAAGTTTAAATATATGAATGATTTGCGGAAGATTTCTAGGTCAGCATTTTGATCACATTAGACCTAGGGTTCAATTCTACACAAAATTGGGTAAAGTTGATTAAAATCAAAACAAAAAGAATTAAGTATATGAATGAATTAAAGTCAAGGGGTTGAATAGAAATTCCGACGATGGGCTTGGGTACATAAAATGTGTGTGTTATTACAATTTACGTGGGTTCGTAGTGGGAACCGGGAAGAAGAAAGAACTGGGCCAAACCATAATAAATACGCCTAACGATATCGGATCAATCGAGTATGCATTGCCTGGTACCTAAACTAGGCAGCTCTATTATAACTTCTAAGTCGAACTATGTGTATTAGTGTTAGACTAAAAGTAGTTGAATGAACAGATCACATACCAAAAATGGATCGATATATATATTAGATAAGGAGATAACAATTTCTTTGGTAAGAGTTGCCATGTTGGTTTAGGCTAAGGATCGATTTCCCACGGAAGCGGAATTGCAACATTTAACTCATTTGGCTATCGAGACATTTAGATGGACTTTCTGAGCTTCAGAATTAGTCGGTGTTAAAATATGTCGCGCTGGTTTACAGTCAGGATTTGTAATCTGTAGCTGCGTCACCGACAGTTTCCTAGTTTAACCAGATCACCTAAATCACATCAGTTATTGAAAAAAAAAAACAACTGCCGAAAAAATCAATAATGGTGTCCTTGATTAACATAAGAGCACATCCAAAAATTACTAACCAATGTTTGTAATTTGTAAATACTGACATTTTTTTAAAATTTAGCAGCGAAGATGGTTACAAAACAACACCATCACGTACTAAACAGTTACAATGTGATGGTATCCATAGTTTATTTATGATCATCATAAATTCATAACTATAACTTTTTAGGTAATTTACCGTATTAGATTTAATTACTATAATTGACAAATGATATGTATATAATAATTAATCATAATATTCATTAATCTCGATCATGTTGACATCTTCTTATGTATCTGTTTATTTAATATCTAAATCACTCTTATTTTGAGACTTTATGACACTAATAGTTATACATATTATCTATTTCTTTAATTAATATCAGCAAAATTTTAAAAGTTTTTTGAGACTGCAAAAATAAATGCCACAGTGTAGAAAATAATTTTACTAAGTTATATATGTTTTAACAGATGCTTATTAAGATTTAAATTTTGTATCTTTCTTACTAAATATACTTTATAAAATCTGCAAAAATAATTTTCTATAATTATATGTTAATTATCATTAATGAGAAACTTTATATACAATTGACATGTCTTTATTCCATTTAATATTATTGCACATTTATTATCTCATTGATACAAAGATGTAAATTTCAAATGGACTGATTTAAAACACAAATATGTATATGTATATGTATATATATATATATATATACATATATAAAGACACATATACTACTCAAAACCCATTCATATGATATTGCTGGAAAGGTGAAGCTAGTAGTAACTATTTGGTTCGTTACTTTGACTCTTCTTTTAACAATTCTGCTTCGATCATTCTATTTTTACCAAGATAAATTTTGCGTGTATTAAGAATGCTGATCCATGAACACTTAACTCTTCTTCGAGAAAGTGATGAAATTTTACAGATTTCTCAAATTGATATTGTTGTTTCTCCTCGACAAGCCTTAAAACTGACGAAATTCGTTTTTCGTTGTTGAAAATAACAATACGACCTCATATATAATTGGATTTGGTTTTTGATGAAATTATCACTGTAAAGTTGATTACGGTCATGTTCTCGTGCTCCATATCGATAAATCTTCTTACTTCTAAGCATGTAACTTTCTAGTTCTAGTAATTGTGAACTAAGATCCTTGATGCAACTTTTTTTTTTCTTTTTCTTTCCAAAGAATCAAGTCACTTAATGTGTTTGAATCTTTGCTTTCATAAAAAAATAATCAATAATCCTTTATGCAAAAAAAGAAGAAGTTAACACTCTTTGTTTGGAAATTAATGAAGTAATTCGACCAACTTCAAACCATGGCTGGAGAAGGAAGTAAACGGAACGCAACTAAATATGATGCGTATGCATATCTAAGGAATGTGAGGGATACATTTGATAACGATCCTGAAAAATATGACGATTTTCTTGCGATTATGAATAATTTTAAAGCTGGGAGGTATGGATATATAGTTTTGTTTTTGGTTTTGCAAAAAATATGAAAAGAATGTTTGGTTTTCTGTTTAGTTCAATTCTTTTTCGGTGTAACACGCTTTAGTATTCTTAAAACTAATTAATTTCGAATATAATTTGATTGTAGAATTGATAGGAATGGTTGCATAGAAGAGGTGAAAGAACTATTTAAAGGACACCGAGACTTGATTTCGGGTTTCAATAAATTCTTGCCAAAGTGTTTGGAGATCGCTGATTGGTACAACTTAGAGGGAAGGTGATGATGTTGCGACGTCCATCTTACTCCTTCCTTATTGAAATAGTCGGTCGGTTTATCAATTATTTTTCAAAAAATATAAACAAAGTATAGGATAAAGAGCATAAGCAATGTTGTCGTGAACAGCCGCAAGGTCTCAAAATTTTAAACCCACCCTATTTGAGTTATATTCAAAATGATTTCCTTGCCAATCATCTATGATCTAACTCTCTATCTCTCTATCTCATATATTAATTGCGGATTAAAGCCTTTAGCTTGTATATAGAAACGAAAAAAATGTTTCCATTCAAAAAAGGAGGAATAAAATTATTCTATCACTAAATCTTGAAAATTGCATTAAGATAAACAAAATATAACAAACAAAGAGAGAGACCTTTTGTTAATCGAAAATCAATAACAAACAAAAAGCGCATTAAAAGCTAAATCTTTATATTGCAAATCTTTTTTCACTTAACAGATTAACATTTCTGTAGATATAGGTTTACCAAAAGCTGGAAAAAGAAAAAGAACAAAGGTTCATCTTTACCAATTAGAGATCCTTGTCAACTGTAACCTCCTACTCATCGTCTTCATCACTATACTTGTTCTCTTTAGAAGAATTTTTTTTTATTGAAAAAATAACTTATTAGCTAGCTAGCTGTAGAAAATAACTGGGCCAAACAATAATAAATACACCAAACGACATCGGATCAATCGAGTATGCCTGGTATAAAATACTTGCAGAGTAACAGGTAAACTATGCAGCTCTATTATAACTTCTAAGTCGAACTATTTGTATTAGTGTTAGACTAAAAGTAGTACTCCAATGAACATCACACACACATATATATATATATATATATAGATATATATATATTAGATTAGGAAATAACAACTGCCGAAAAACAAAACAAAAACTGCCGAAAATTTTGATAACGGTGTCGTTGATTAACATAAGAGCACATCCAAAACTTACCAACCAATGTTTGTAAATACTGACTTTTTTTTTTAATCTAGAAGCGAAGATGGTTACAAAAACAACACCATCAGCTACTAAACAAATACATTGTGATGGTATCCATAGTTTATATATGATCATCATATATAATTATAACTTTTTAGGTAATATACCGTATTAAATTTAATTACTATAATTGACAAATTATATGTATATATTTATTAGTCATAATATTTATTTATCTCGATCATATTGACATCTTCTTATATATCTTTTTTATTTAATATCTAAATCAATCTTATTTGAAGACTTTCTGACATTAATAGTTATTACATAATATCAATTTCTTTAATTAATATCAGCTAAATTTTAAAAGTTTTTTGAGATTGCAAAAATAAATGCCATAATGTAGAAAATAATTTACTAAGTTATATATGTTTATTAAGATTTTAAATGTTGTATCTTTCTTACTAAATATACATATAAAATCTGCAAAATAATTTTCTCTTAGTATATTTTAATTATCATTAATGAGAAACTTTATATACAGCTGACATGTATTTATTTCATTAAATATTAGTGCACATTTAGTATCTCATTGATACAAAGATTTAAAACACAGATGTATATATAAAGACACATACACTACTCAAAACCCATTCATGTGATATTGCTGCAAAGTTGAAGCTAGTACTAGTAACTATTTGGTTCGTTAATTTGAATTTTCTTAACAATTCTGCATCGATCATTCTACTTTTACCAAGATTAATTGTGCGTGTATTAAAATGCTGATCCATGAACTTTACATAACTCTTCTTGGAGAAATTGATGAAATTTTACAGATCTCTCAAGTCTCAAATTTGATGTTGTTTCTTATCGACAAGCCATAAAACTGACGAAATTCGTTTCTCAATAACAATATGACCTCATCCATAATTGCATTTGGTTTTTGATTAATTTATCACTGTAAAGTTGATTACAGTCATGTTCTCGTGCTCCATATCGATAAATCTTCTGACTTCTAAGCATGTAACTTTCTATTCTAGTAATTGTGAACTAAGATCCTTGATGCAACGTTTTGTTTTTCTTTTTCTTTTTTTTTTCCAAAGAATCAGGTCATTAATGTGTTTGAGTCTTTGCTTTCATAAACAAATAATCAGTAATCCTTAATGCAACAATAAAGAAGAAGTTAACTCTCTTTGTTTGGAAATTTATGAAGTAATTCGACCAACTTCAAATGGCTGGAGAAGGAAGTAAACCGAACGCAACTAAAGATGATGCGTATGCATATCTAAGGAATGTGAAGGATACATTTGATAACGATCGTGAAAAATATGACGACTTTCTTGCGATTATGGATAATTTTAAAGCTAGGAGGTATGGATATGTAGTTGTGTTTTTGTTTTTGCAAAAATATGGGAAAACGTTTGGTTTTCTCTTTAGTTGAATACTTTTCGGTGTAACACTTTTTAGTATTCTTAAAACTAACTAATTTCGAATATAATGTGATTGTAGAATTGATAGAAATGGTTGCATAGAAGAGGTGAAGGAACTATTTAAAGGACACCGAGACTTGATTTCGGGTTTCAATAAATTCTTGCCAAAGTATTTGGAGATCGCTGATTGGTACAACTTAGAGGGAAGGTGATGATGTTGCGACGTCCATCTTACTCCTTCCTTATTGGGGGATCTAAACCGAGTTCGGTTTATATTTGCTCTATGTTTAATCGTTTATAATTCGTTCTCTTGCTTCATTTAGTAATCATATGTTGGCTTATTAATTAGGTTCTAATATATTTAATCTTTGTTGTTTCCAACCATTTTTTTCATGTCAACAATCATCTCAACTCTTTCATCGTCTTATAATCGTACAATCAAAGTAAATTAATCAAATATTAGCAATCAAGTTCAAAATTAAAAATTTAAAGCAAATATTAAAAGTACGATTAATTATTTGTTTATATATATATATTTGGTCAGTAAGGTGTATTTTCCTTTTTTCAAAAAGGGTTAGAAAACTAACAAATCCCTTTAAAAATGACATAGACGCTAGTACCTGTTAGAAAAAGAACGTGATCACGTTTAATTTTAGTCTAATTGAAGTATCCAACTAATTGTTAAATCATTTGAAATTGAATTTCTATTTTGATTTGGCTAAACAGATCGCTGAAATATCAACTTTTAAGATACAACTATCAGATATTTCCTTTTTTGCTATCTATGTTATCAATATCTCTACTCTAAATAGCTTTTGTAAAATAAATTTTTATTATTACTTTTACTAAATATATAAACATATTTTACTAGAAAGCCCTTTGTCCAAAAAAATATATTTAATTTTACGACACAAAATTAGGGAGAAGAGACACGTATTCAAATCTGATATCCCATATGTATAAATACAATCGCGAATAGAACTCAGGAGTCAAAACAGTTATCAGTAGGGTTTGCTTTTGGAAATCTTCCAAGTCCGTCACTCTGCGAACACGAAGCTTCTTGCTGATCTCGCCGCTTTAGTTCTGCCCAAAATTCGGTAACAATCCTTCGTTCCTCTCCGGTTTTAATTATCCTATTTCGTTCGATTAGGTTAACTAGGTCAAGAAAGATCTAAGTTTTCTGGTTCGTTGCTTTCAAGTCGTTTCTTTAATTAGGTCACGATCGAGTAGTTTTCAGCTGGTTTTTTACTTTCATATCGTTTCTTGATTGAATTCCACCTGTTCGAAGGATACTAATCCATGAAATTCGCATGAATCTTTGATCGAAACAATATGTTCTTTGTTTTAGGGTTCGCATAGTTATACTTAGATGAACATGATTTCTTTTTACTGAACTTAAATTCTCTATTTTTTTTTGGATACCAGAGGATTAATTAGGTCAATTACACACCATGGCTGGAGAAAGCGTACAACCTACGCTAACTGAAGGTTATGCGAAAGAATACATCGCTGCAGTGAAACAAGCACTAATCGACGAACCTGAAAAATATGACGAGTTTTACAAGATATTGCTGTATGTCGTAGATCATAGGTATATATGTATTATTACTTTTCTCACTGTTATATTGACACAACAAAAAAAAAACTATCATTGTGAATTGTTTTCTGATGTTTTTATTCACTTTGTATAGAGCCGACGAAGTTGCTTGCTATGCAAGGGTGGGTGAAATCTTGAAAGATCACCAGAATCTTCTTCGTGGTTTCAATTCCTTCCTTCCACCTGAGTCAAAGATAACCATTCCTCTCGAGGCTAAGACAACCATCATGACTTCAAAGGCTAAGAAAACCATCAAGCCTCTCGATGATGATGATGATCACAAAGTGTTAAGCCAATCACAAACCATGGCTGCCACAAGAGTAGCCCGAGAGCTAACTTTGGGTGATGCGCTTCCTTACATTGCTACTGTGAATGAAGCATTTCGTGACGAACCTGGCAAAAAAAAGGAGTTTTTAAAAATCCTGAATGATTATAGATATCAAAGGTATGTGAATTGTGTTTTCTTTCTTCTTTATGTTTGGCTCTCCCTTAATTTCAACTCCTAATCGACACAACAGAAGCATACATGTGGATTGGTTCTGATGTTACTAGTCTCTCTGCAGATTCGATCGCACAAATACCATTGCAAAGCTTAAGGAACTCATGAAAGAGCACCCGAAGCTGCTTCTTGGTTTCAATGTCTTCCTTCCAGATGAGGATAAGATAACTATCATTCCCAAGATTACGATAACTAACCTTTCCAAGATCAAGATAACCATTCATCCCAAGACTAAGCGAACCATCCCTCCCGAGTCTAAGAGAACCATCCCTCCCGAGGCTAACAAAGGGTTATGCCAATTTCAAAACATTGATGAAAGAAGATTACCAACAATGCTAGAAACGGATCATGAAAGGTATGGATTATTTTCTCCCTCTTATATATATATTTGGTTTGCTCTTATTTCAAGTCTAACACAGCAAACACAGATTTCGTGAATTGTTTTCTGATGTTATTATTCTCTTTGCAGAGCTTATGAAGAAATCATGAATAATAAATATCACCGGAAACAGATTCAGCTTTTAGCTGAGGCTAGTCAGTTAGCCATCCCTACCGAGGCTAACAGAACCATCCTTACCGAGGCTGAAAATCATGGTGCTGAGTCTAACTGTACCAAAAGAAAACGTGAGGAGTCTGAGGAACCAAGTTTTTTCGACAAGCTTAAGGTATAAAAATGCTATAAATGACAAGTAATCCTAAGAAAATAATATTTTGATATGTCCTCTTCTGCTAACTTGTGATCTAAATAACAAATTCGTCCATCTTGCAGACAAGGTTTCAGAGACTTGATGTTCATGTAGTGAAGTCATATTGCGAGATAATGAAAACGTTCAAAGAGGGAAAGAAGTCGAAAACAGAGGTGCACAAGGAGGTAGGTTCTTTGAGGGCTATTTAATTTTGTGGTGCACTTGTACTTTTGCATATTTTTTTCTTGGTTTTGATTTTGTGATTGTATATCCTTGCAGGTCGTTGATCTTCTCTATTATCATGAAGATTTGATCGAGGACTTTTCCAAATATTTTAAACCAAAAAAATCCTATATGAGCTGCATCAAAAGCTCTACTTGATGGTTATCTACATGATATACTGTTGCTCTAGGATGTTTGAAACAGAAATATATGTATAAAATTATTAGAACTTCTATAGAGGGAGAATGCACAGTTTCTTTTATAGAGCTTTGAGTTTAGTTCGATTCTTTTTTTCCTTGCACATATGTTTTAATTAAATTTTAAATCCAATGTTTGGTTTAGTTTCACAAATAAAAAAGAACATTACTGATTTGCAACTGTAGCTACTTCTAGTCGTTCTGGAGTAAGATCCTTGGGAACGACATTAGTATGTCTAGCACTTGGTAATGGTTTGAAGAAAGTTGCATCAAATTTAACTGTAAAGTATAAAATATGAGTCATTGCTTATTGAGGTCTTGAAGGATCTTCTAAAGTGCAACTCTTAATCTGCATAATGTTTATAGCTTCTAACGAGAAGAGTGTATAATTTGATTCCCAACTTCCACAAAAAGCTATAAACATTTTATGTACATTCACTCTCTAACCTCCACAAAAGAAAGTTGTTAATTTTAGTTATAGAAATTAATTTCTCCAACTCTCGAATCTAAATTGACGTTAAATCATAATCCAAATCACAATGACCCCTACGAATTTGGCCAAAAAAATTATCTTTTTTTTTTGGTTTGGCAAAAAGTTTATTTATCTAAAAAAAAACTTTTCCTCATAAAAAAGTTTTATTTTCCCGTAAAGAAGTTTTCCTTTTTGTTTGTCGTTAAAAAAGTTTATTTTCTTTTGCCGTCAAATTGTTTTCCTTTTTAACCGTACTTTTGTATGTTCATTATTAACTAAACTAATGTTTGAAACGAAACCCTAGAAGCTAGAGATATTCCTTCCGGTTATCTCCTGCTTCGTGATCGTGGGGTTGTAAAGGAGACTTGCTTGTTCTCGAAGCCTTTTCTTCTTCGAAATTGGGTAATTATACGATGGTCTTCTTCCTTTTTTATTTTGTACGAATTTCGTTTCGGCCACTACAATTTTGTATTATCTGTGATCATTATATGTTTCGTATCTGTGATGAAATTTACATGAATCATTATGAGGGGTTGGTATTGTTTTGTTCCCAATAGAAGTCTCCAAATCCTATCAGGCTTAATATTTTTGCAAGCTCTTAATTAGTGAATATTGAGCTCTTCTTCTTTGGTTGAGGATGAAGACTCATGATCCAGCTTTTGATTGGTTTCACTCTATTTCAAGTGACTGCTTCACATGTGTAGTTTTTGATCCATGTGGTCCTTAAAGGAATGAATTTAATATTTCTGCACTAGGTCCTCTTTCTCGAGGGATTCTAAATTCTTTTTTTTTTTTCAAAAAGGGTGGTACAATAGCTTTGAGAGATGCTAGAGATTTAATGGGGAAAAAAACATTTTTTATTTATTTTGGATACCAAAGGGTTAGGCCATTTTAGTTTCTGTGAAATGCGTATCACAATATGAACCTGAATATGTTTAACGAGCTCCTGAATGATTTTTAGAGCTCATAAGTGTGTTAATAATTTTCTCCATGTTACATTTGGTTGCTCTTTACAAACACACATGCGAATTGGTTCTGATGTTACTATGCGTTAGTAGCGTGCAAAGGGTGATGGAGCTCATGAAAGAGCGTAGAGTCGATAACATTAGTACCGTTGCAAGTGTGAAGGAACTCATGAAAGAGCACCGGAAGCTGTTTCCTGGTTTCAGGTTTCTCCTTCCAGCTGAGGATAACATAACCATCCCTCCCGAGGTTGATAGAAGTCATAGAACCGTCCCTCCTCCTCAGGCTAATAATATAACTATCATTCTCAAGGCTAAGAGAACCATCTCTCCCGAGGCTGAGAAATATGCTGAGTCTAACTATAGCAAAAGGAAACGCCCTGAGTCTGATGAACCAAGTTTTATGAACAAGCTTAAGGTATAGAAATGCTAAAACTACAAAATACTCCTAAGGAAATACTATCTTTAATATTTTCTCTTCTTCTAACTTTTTTTTTTTATACAAATTTGTCGATGTGCAGACAAGATTCCGGACCCTTGATACTGATTTAGTTGAGTCATTTCGCGAGATAATGAAAAAGTGTAAAGAAGGAAAGAAGTCGCAAAAGGACGTGCATGGGGAGGTATGTTCTTGGTGGGCTATTTTGTGTTGAACTTGCACTTGTTTTTGTTCTCTTAGATTTGATTAATTTGGTTATGATATATCTTGCAGGTCGTTGATCTTCTCTATTATCATGAAGATTTGCTCGCGCACTTTTCTAGATTACATTACCAAAAGCATATATGATCCTAGAAAAATGTATAGTTATCAATGAGAATAGAGTGTATAGTCAATTTCTTTTATAGAGTTTGACCGTTTGAGTTCAGTTTGATTCTTCTGACATGCATATGTGATACGATCTTAGGTGATTAACTCTGAAGCAAAGGAGAACAGATGCAGCGATAAGATGGATAGAAGGAATCGATGAGGCGATGTGGTGGTGGTGGTGATCGGTTCGATGGATCAAGCCGAAGATGATGATGGTGGCGCAGCGGATAGAGTGAGTTGAGAGGGTGGACGTGCTGTGATGAGATGATATCGATGGAATGGAGATGATGAGATAGAAGAATCTCTTGTAAACAGATTAGGTTTTAAGAGATTCGAATTTCAGAGTTTTTAGTTCTCAGAAATCAAAAGAGAGAAGAACACGTTAAAAGTTTGATCAAAATTCTTCACTGAATAATACTTAGGCGATTTTCTCTCTTAAATAGAGTTAGAGAGAAATCGCAGCCCTAATACAAAACTACATGAAGTCTGAAATAAAAACAACACGAAGTTTGATTAAAAAATAAAACAGCGAGGCGTCCCTTCTAAATCCTAAGTGGTGCGCCTAAAACAACTAGTGCACAAGTCATTGTGACTTTGCACATTATTACCCATTAGTAACAACTTCTAAGTAACTCGACGTAGCAATGATTTCTGCCTCGTTAAAAACCTTGGAGAAGAACCTCCTTGCCTTCCAAAATCCTCACCAAGGAAAAGAGTACAGAATCATCACCTAAGTTACCTAGTCATTGTTACTGGGTTCTTCATTCTTCAAGATAAAGATATTGAAGATGTGAGCTCCAGCTTCCAGTTGATCGATGTCCTCTGCAGCTATGAGTGCGTGAGCCTCCTTAGCCATCTCTCTAGCTCTGGAACGAGTAATCCTGCCAGCTACCTCTGGTTCCTCCTCCTCTGAGCTGGTCACGATCATATCATCCTCTCCCTCTTGAAAAGGATTTGTCCTCAAATCTGAATCTGTAACATAAGGAAGCAAGTCAGAAACATTGAAAGCATCAGAAACATCATACTTACCTTGAAGATTAATCTGATAGGCGTTGTTGTTGATTCTTTTGATGACTGCGAATAGTCCATCAACTCTGGGCATTAGCTTGTTCTTTCGCTCAGCTGGAAATCGCTCCTTCCTCAGATGGATCCACACCAGATCTCCTTCTTCGAAAATCAGCTCCTTTCGTCCTTTGTTGGCATGCTTCTCATACTGCTTTGTCTTCTTCTCGATGTTCTCCTTAGCCTTAGCATGTATTCTTCGGACCTGTTCAGCTTTCTCCTTGCCATTCAAGCTGCATTTTCCACTTAAAGGCAAAGGGATCAAGCCTAGAGGTGATTGTGGATTAAACCCATATACAATTTCAAAAGGAGAAAAGAGAGTAGCAGAATGCTTAGCGTGATTGTAAGCAAACTCGACATGAGGCAGGCACTCTTCCCATGTCTTGAGGTTACTTTTCACCAAAGTCCTTAGAAGTGTGGACAACGTTCTATTCACCACCTCGGTCTGTCCATCGGTCTGAGGATGACACGTAGTTGAGAATGAGAGCTTTGTTCCCAGCTTAGCCCAAAGCGTTCGCCAAAAGTGTCCTAAGAACTTCGTGTCTCGATCTGAAACGATAACCTGTGGCATTCCATGCAGTCGTACTACTTCCCTGAAAAACAAGTTAGCTACATTCACAGCATCATCTGTCTTGTGGCTAGCGATGAAGTGAGCCATCTTGCTAAACCTGTCAACAACTACAAAAATAGAATCTCTACCATTTCTGGTGCGAGGTAAGCCAACTACAAAATCCATAAAAGATATTAGTCCAAGGTTGAGAAGGAATAGGCAAAGGAGTATACAAACCGTGAGGTTGAACTTTACTCTTAGCCATCTTACATACGACACATCTAGAGCAGATTTTCTCAACGTCCTTCTTCATGTTCGGCCAGTAGAAGTGCTCTTGTAGCCCAAGAAGTGTCTTTGTGACACCGAAATGTCCAGCTAATCCACCTCCATGAGCTTCTCGTACCAGTAACTCTCGAATAGATCCTCGTGGTATGCACAATCGGTTACTTAAGAACAAGTATCCATCCTGTCTATAAAATTTCTCACAGGCAAAGTTATGACATTTGGCATAGCTCTCAGAAAAGTCAGTATCAGATTCATAAAGATCTATAATGTTTTCAAATCCAATCAACTTTGATGTTAAAGTCGAAATAAGAGTGTACCTCCGGGATAATGCGTCTGCGACCACATTATCTTTACCTTTTCTGTACTTAACAATGTAGGGGAATGTCTCAATGAACTCGATCCATCGCCCATGTCTTTTGTTAAGCTTCTGCTGACCCTTGAGGTGCTTTAGAGACTCGTGATCGGTATGAATGACAAATTTCTTAGGCCATAGGTAATGCTGCCATGTCTGGAGAGCTCGAACCAATGCGTATAACTCATTGTCATAAGTGGGATAATTCAACGTGGAACCTCCTAACTTTTCGCTGAAGTAAGCGACGGGCTTCTTATCCTGCATAAGAACTGCTCCAATACCTACACCAGAAGCATCGCATTCAATCTCAAAAGTCTTAGTAAAATCAGGAAGTACTAGTAAGGGCGAATTGATAAGCTTCTCTTTAAGGGCTGTAAAAGTCTGTTCTTGCGCCTCTCCCCACTTGAACCCCACGTCCTTCTTGATGACTTCGGTTAAGGGCGCGGCTATGGTGCTGAAATCACAAACAAAACGCCTATAGAATCCTGCTAAGCCATGGAAACTTCGGACTTCTCCAATATTCTTGGGGGTTGGCCACTCCTTGATAGCTTTTATCTTCTCTTCATCTACTTTAACTCCTCCTGCACTTACTACAAAGCCTAAGAAAACAATTTCGTTAGTGCAGAATGAACATTTAGATAAATTAGCAAAGAGAGATTGAGAGCGAAGAACATCAAGAACCGATCTGATGTGATCTAGATGTTCTTCTAAACCTTTACTGTATATGAGGATATCGTCGAAATACACCACTACGAACACGCCAATGAATGGTCTTAGGGCATGGTTCATTAGTCTCATGAAGGTGCTGGGAGCATTGGTGAGGCCAAACGGCATAACTAGCCACTCGTAGAGTCCCTGCTTTGTCTTGAATGCCGTCTTCCACTCATCCCCTTCCTTCATTCTGATCTGATGATATCCACTCTTCAAGTCGATCTTAGAGAAGATTGTCGATCCACAGAGCTCATCCAGCATATCATCTAGCCTTGGGATCGGATGCCGATACTTCACAGTGATGTTGTTGATAGCTCGGCAGTCTACACACATCCTCCAGGAACCATCCTTCTTTGGCACCAACAGAACTGGAACCGCACATGAACTCAAGCTTTCTCGGATATGGCCTTTGCTCATCAGCTCCTCCACTTGCTTTTGCAGCTCCTTAGTCTCTACAGGATTGGTTCGGTATGTTGGCCTGTTAGGTAAGGCTGATCCTGGTACCAAGTCAATCTGATGCTCTATCCCACGAATTGGAGGTAGCCCTGGTGGAATTTCTACTGGAAAAACATCCTTGTATTCCTGCAAAATCTCAAACATAACACTAGGAAGCTCCTGTGAAGGGTTAGTACTAACAAGGGATTCCTTGTACACAAACATAAAAGTAGTCATTTCAGGATCAAAGAGTTTAGAAAATTCACTGTGGTTTATGTAGAGGCTGTTGGCGACTTTCTCCTTCTCCTTGAGCTTCATTTGAATTTGATCTTGATAAATCTCGGTAGGCGTGAGAGGTAGGAGGGTAATTTTGCGACCTTTGAACTCGAATGAGTGCTTGTTGGTGTAACCGTCGTGTATCACCATACGATCTGATTGACACGGTCTGCCTAGCAACACATGACTCGAATCCATGGGAATGACGTCACATAGAATCTCATCTTCATACTTCCCAATGGATAGAGAAACCATCACTTGCTGAGATACGGTCAAGGCTCCACTGTCATTCAACCACTGAAGCTTATACGGCCTTGGATGAGGAATAGTCTTGAGCTGGAGCTTCTTAACCATCTCTTCGCTTGCAGCATTAGTACAACTTCCTCCATCTATGATCAGGCTACAAACTTTTCCTTGAATGAAGCATCTCGTATGGAACAGGTTCTCTCGCTGACAAGTCTTTTCAGGTTGACTCTGAACACTCAAAGTCCTTCTGGCAACCAGCATCTCGCCCACAGCAGCAGCTTTTTCCTCTTCCTCTAATTCATATTCGGCCTCTGAATCCTCTTGAGGAACTATCTCTCCTCCCTCATGTAACAAGAAAATCTTCTTGTTTGGGCAATCTCGAGAGTAATGTCCCATTCCTTGACATTTGAAACACCTCACATTGCTGATAGAAGTGCCACCTCGAGGCTTGAACTCAGCTTTAGCTTCTTCTTTAACTCCAGTAGAGGGCGGTTTGATGTCTCTGGAGTAAGCTGGCTTGCTGATCTCCTTAGGCTTAGGCACACTAGGCGTGAATGTGGACTTGAAATTTCGCCTCTTGACTTGAGATTCCACCAATTCAGCCTTATGCACCATCTCTTGTATATCTGCGAAATCCTGAAGTTCCACCTTGTCTTGAATCTCTCGGTTAAGTCCTCCAAGAAATCTCGACATTACAATTTCTTGGACGAGGCGCCTAAGCTTGTTGAGTATTTCGCGCTGATGATGGGCCGGAACGAACTGTTTCCTCATCTGTATAACGAGCTGATCCCAAGTAGTAATCGGAAGTTCTCTAAGGCGGTTTCTGGTGACTCTCAACTGCTCCCACCATAGAAGCGCATACCCATGAAATTCCGAAACTGCAATCTTCACCTTGTTGAGCTCGTAGGTTCCTTGGACCAGAAAATTAGACTCCATCTTCCTTTCCCAATCTAGGTAAGCTTCGGGATCATTGGTTCCATGGAAAGGAGGATACTGGATTTTGATATGACGCAGCTGCTGACGTAGAGGATCATAATCTCGACCATGTCCTCGGCCTCGATCTCTTCTCACAGTTTCTCGGCTATGATCAGAAGCTTCGTCCTCCTCATAGTATTCTGGGTCTGATTCCAGGGTAACTCGATGTCCAGCAATATATTCCTCTCGGCGGTGCTGACGATCTACCCTTGGGCCATCTCGTTCTGCACCAGTAGGATTCCTCCTCGGATTAAACGTAGTCTCTCTGCCCCCAATTTGGCTCGGTTGGACTTAGCTTTAGTCCTGGCTTCGGAAGGTGTTGGGTGGCGTGGAAGTTTCCGGGAAGATCCTATGTGCCCTTTACCCTTTGCTAAGCGCATTGCTTCTGAAGGAGTTGGAGTTTGAGACGACTCTTCTCCACTTGCACTGAGGTCTTTGAGCAGATTATTCATCTTCGTCTCGAACTTGTCATTGAGTTGTTCGATTGGTTGTGTGAGCTGAGTTGCTATGGCGTGATTCGCTTCTTTAATTTGTTGAGACATTGCTCGGTTCAGAGCTTCCATCGTCTCAGCCGAAAGCTCCATGGTACCTGAAAAAATTAAAAAAAAACTCGCAGTAACTTGTTCTAGAAGAAATCACAAAAACAGCAAAACTAAACTCATCATAAAAAAAAATTAAACGATCCCCACGAAATCTAAAAACAAACTTAACGAAACTAATGAAATTTAACGAAATTTTTTTTTTTTTGTGTACTCTTTTTTTTTTTTTTTTTTTCAACCCTTAAAAAAAACGAAAAAATCAAGTTTCTTATCAAACCTAAACGAGAAAATCGATGATCAACGAACCCTAGCTAATTCGAAAACTAGAATCCTAACAAACTAAGGACAAAACACGAAGCGATGAACAACGAGTTATCTAGTCTAACTAAATCGCACTATCGAACCCTAACACGATCTCGCAATCGATCTAGGCGAAGACTACACCACACAACGAAAGTACAGCGACACAAAAAGACACTAGTTCGATGCAATCTAACGAGAACGCAGAAGTGAGGCAACGAATTAACTAACAACGATATGATGATTCACTGAAATAGAAGACACACGATGCAAACAAACACCAGAAGTTAACAAGCCCTAATGATCTAAGCAACGAAATCAGAACAAGGAATGAAATCAAGTATGGCGATTTAGGGTTAGAAATTTCTCAGCCTTTGGTTCAGAGTTGGCTCTGATACCACGTGATACGATCCTAGGTGGTTGGTTCAGAGTTGGCTCTGATACCACGTGATACGATCCTAGGTGATTAACTCTGAAGCAAAGGGGAACAGATGCAGCGATAAGATGGATAGAAGGAATCGATGAGGCGATGTGGTGGTGGTGGTGATCGGTTCGATGGATCAAGCCGAAGATGATGATGGTGGCGCGGCGGATAGAGTGAGTTGAGAGGGTGGACGTGCTGTGATGAGATGATATCGATGGAATGGAGATGATGAGATAGAAGAATCTCTTGTAAACAGATTAGTTTTTAAGAGATTCGAATTTCAGAGTTTTTAGTTCTCAGAAATCAAAAGAGAGAAAAACACGTTAAAAGTTTGATCAAAATTCTTCACTGAATAATACTTAGGCGATTTTCTCTCTTAAATAGAGTTAGAGAGAAATCGCAGCCCTAATACAAAACTACATGAAGTCTGAAATAAAAACAACACGAAGTTTGATTAAAAAATAAAACAGCGAGACGTCCCTTCTAAATCCTAAGTGGTGCGCCTAAAACAACTAGTGCACAAGTCATTGTGACTTTGCACATTATTACCCATTAGTAACAACTTCTAAGTAACTTGACGTAGCAGTGATTTCTGCCTCGTTAAAAACCTTGGAGAAGAACCTCTTTGCCTTCCAAAATCCTCACCAAGGAAAAGAGTACAGAATCATCACCTAAGTTACCTAGTCATTGTTACTGGGTTCTTCATTCTTCAAGATAGAGATATTGAAGATGTGAGCTCCAGCCTCCAGTTGATCGATGTCCTCTGCAGCTATGAGTGCGTGAGCCTCCTTAGCCATCTCTCTAACTCTGGAACGAGTAATCCTGCCAGCTACTTCTGGTTCCTCCTCCTCTGAGCTGGTTCTTATATATTGACTCTTTTCTTTTTTTTTCATGAGATTTGGGTCGTGTCAATTAGATTTAGTGATTACAAATTATTACAAACTCGAAAAACTGCTCATAACCTTTTTCTATTTTTTCTATATCGTATGCAATTGATCATCGAATGTTAGTTTTAACGGATTCCATAATTAAGTACATGATGCTTAGATAACGAGAAGGGAGTGTTTTTTACTATTAGACAACATGACATCATGACATGCACATATGAGTCTTCTCTTTAATGAAAGTCTCACTCCTGATTAGAGACTAACTCACCTGCTTTAATCACCTAAACCAGCTTGAATTCCCGGTCCAAGTTTATCAAACCGGAACTTGCAATTGAGTTACAAAGTCTTTTAACTATGCATACGTACCGACTCGTATATAATCAGTGTCAAAGAACTCGGCAGTTGCTCAACAGAGATTTAGCACCTCATGGTTAAAACGTTTAATCGAAATTTAGACGATTTAGGCAGTCTAAACAATTTGTAAGAGAATATTAAACCAAAATGAACTAAGAGAGTATAACCCAAAATAAATTCTTATATTCAAATTCTTATTTCACACTTACAGCTTTTGAGTGGCGTTACTGACAGCTCCTGTAGATCTCGTATCGTATGTATTAGAAACACAAGATTTGTTGGTGCGTGTTAAAAAGAGGAAAGCTTTGAGCCACAATCAAGATTCCATTTCTAATTGTTGTTTAATTAGACAAGGGAGGATACAAAGGAACCAAATACTTGTCACCTAAGAACCTGGAAAGAGGATACAAAGATACCAACTTGTTCATTCACCAACTTAACAAAGACAAAAAGAAAAATGGCAATTCTCCATTTGTTGATTTCACCAGATAGAGCCAAATCGCATTCTCTTTGTCATGAGAAAAACAACAGAGGATTTTGGCTGTTTGTTGTCTTGACATCAAAAGAAACAAAGTCTAAAAAAAGGAAGATTATATTTGATGGATGAAGGTCTTTGTTACATGTGTAAAGCTGGGTCTTTTTCACTCACTCTTGTAGTGTTGTTTAAAGTTTTGTATGTTTTGTAAACCATTTCACACAAAAATTTGACTTTTTTTATATGTTTTGTAGAAATGACCATAAAGGGTTTGACTTTTTTTTCCATCAAAGCCACTTCTTATATAACTTTCCCTCACTTTAAAAACAAAGATTCGATTTTTGACTGCAAAATCGCCAAAAGAAAAAAGAAAAATTCCAAAGGAAATCGGAGATGGCTTTATCACGACTTTCTCTGCGATCTAACGGGTTCCTTAAACCGGCGGCCACCGCTTTGCCTTCAGCCATCCGCCGCCATGTTTCCACAGACTCATCGCCGATCACAATCGAAACCGCCGTCCCTTTCACTGCGCATCTATGCGATGCGCCGTCACGCTCCGTCGAGACCTCGTCGGAGGAGATCCTCGCGTTTTTCCGCGACATGGCTCGGATGCGGAGGATGGAGATCGCCGCCGATTCCCTCTACAAGGCGAAGCTGATCCGCGGGTTCTGCCACTTGTACGACGGTCAGGAGGCTTTAGCCGTCGGGATGGAGGCGGCGATTACGAGGAAGGACGCGATTATCACGTCGTATCGAGATCACTGCACTTTCGTGGGTCGTGGTGGAGAGCTTGTCGATGCCTTCTCCGAGCTTATGGGAAGGAAAAGAGGTTGCTCTAATGGTAAAGGAGGATCTATGCATTTCTACAAGAAGGACGCTTCGTTTTACGGTGGACATGGGATCGTTGGTGCTCAGATTCCGTTGGGATGTGGTTTGGCTTTTGCTCAGAAGTATTCCAAGGAAGAGAATGTGACTTTTGTATTGTATGGTGATGGTGCTGCGAATCAGGGTCAGTTGTTTGAGGCCTTGAATATTGCGGCTCTTTGGGATTTGCCTGCGATTCTTGTCTGCGAGAATAACCATTGTGAGTTTTTTTTTTGTTTCTAACTCTTTGAAAAGAATCTTTAGTGAATGTTGTAGTAGTGTCCCCTGATTAATTTTGGTTACTTGGATTGGTTTGATGTAGATGGAATGGGAACGGCTACATGGAGGTCGGCTAAGTCTCCAGCCTATTTCAAGCGTGGAGATTATGTTCCTGGCTTGAAGGTGAGACTGAGATGTCTAGTGTCATGAGTGTTGCAATGATTTTGCTTCCAATGAAGTTTATAGTTTACTTCATTACTCGGCGTGTAGTTGTAGCTCTTTTTGGTTATTGATTTGTGCAAATTTAGACTTTTTGGTCGAATATGGTTTAGGTGGTTAGTGAGGATAGCGCTTTCCACGCAATATGAGTGAGAAAGGAGGAACCTTTATATGATATTTGAATCTATTATGCGTTTGGAAGAGATTGACAGTAACTTTACAAGAACTAGCAATGGCATTGTCTCCAAAGTCTATATCTTTGTTTCAGCTTTTTTATGTCTTAGCCAATAGAAATTGTTTTTCTGATTGGTGAGAGTGTGTGTGACCTTAAAGCTAACTAGTGATTATCTTCTGCCTTATGTACTAGGTGGATGGTATGGATGCGCTGGCTGTGAAACAGGCATGCAAGTTCGCCAAGGAGCATGCTCTCAAGAATGGACCTATTGTAAGTTTTCACAGTGCATTATCTGTCAACAAGTGTTACAGCTTCTTTGAATTCTTCATTTCTTTGTTCTCAGTCTTTGCTGATCCGATTGCTTCTTCGAAATCAAATTCAAGCAACATGACTCTCTGAGCATTTTATGTAAATTAGTAATTCAAAGGATCATTTATTGCCTGCATGTGTCTGCTGTGTTGGGGGAGAATGGTTTTCTGGTAACAATAACCGATTGTATTTAGCCTGCATTTTGGATTGAACGAGGTTTATATGAGTAAATTTTTTGGAGATAACTAAACTTTATAAGTACTTCTGTTTGAGAAACTCTATTTAGCATGTAATACTTTTGTTTAGGCCATAAGAAACGTTTTTGTTTGCATATTTCACGAAAGCGTGTCAGGCCGTAGAATATGCAAAGTACTAGATGTCACTAATATTCTCTCGAAGTGAAGCTACATGTTGAGCTCAGTTTCCAACCACTGTTCCTTTATTACATATTATCATCAACGCATCTGGGACAAGCATTTTGAATCTTGTGATTTGATCACATAGTGTAAGCATTTATTGGATTCTTGTAAGCCATTGTCTACCTAGCTATGAAGCACGGGTACGGCAGTTTGTAGACGTCTCACGTATCCGAAACGTTTCGGGGACGGGTACTGATTGGGGACAGCTCGGAAACGTTTTTCTAAGGTTTCTAGGAATTTGGGAAGGGTTATATTAATATGAAATTTTTCCTAGTATATATTAATGATCAAGAGTGGTTATTTCCTTTAGTAGTATAGTATTTATGGATTTAGGAAATGATAAAACTCTCTTGAAGTATTAAAAAAAAAAATTTAGCTCAAATGTATGTGTATTATTTTGTTATATACATATATATTTTTGACGTATCCATACCGTACCCGTATCTATAAATTTTTAATTTGCCGTTTCCGGTCCCCGTTCCCGACCCAGTTTCCCGACCCCGTACCCGTCTCAGTGCAGCATAGCTACCTAGTGATATGACCAACATACCATTTCCATTATCTGTGCAGATTCTTGAGATGGACACCTACAGATACCACGGTCACTCTATGTCTGACCCAGGAAGCACATACCGTACACGTGATGAAATATCCGGCGTGAGACAGGTTAGTTCTTTGTCCATTTATGAGAACACTGCTCAAATTGTTATATTTTTTTATTTTTTAAACTTTGTAATCTGTAAAATTTTCATCGATGTTACCTTCAGGTGCGTGATCCTATTGAAAGGGTGCGAAAGTTGCTCTTATCTCATGACATAGCTACAGAAAAAGAGCTTAAGGTATTATTTTTCTCTAACTTTTCCATCCTCTTCCAGACAAAGAGCTTGGAAAAAATTGATACATACAAATACAATCATCATTTGCCTTTACAAATGACAATGTTGCTCTTGACTTAAAGGACATGGAGAAAGAGGTGAGGAAAGAAGTAGATGACGCCGTAGCTCAGGCCAAGGTAATAATAACATTATAGCTGTTTCTTAGCTTTTGTTTGTTATATATTATCAAAGCATATAAAATTGACAAATGTCTTCCCGTTTAACTTGTTTCAGGAGAGCCCGGTACCAGAACCATCTGAGCTATTCACAAACATGTACGTGAAAGACTGCGGAGTTGAGGTACTTTACCTTCTAACAGTAACATCTATTATTAGTTTTTCTTTAACCCTGTATCATTGTAGTTCTTTGCATATATGTCGTTATAAGATGAATCTTGAGATTTACACGTTTTCTCCATTACGTTTTGCAGTCATTTGGAGCAGACAGAAAAGACCTCAAAGTAACACTTCCATAAACCTTGCTCTGCAGTAGCTGACACTTGAATAAATCAAAAAGCAAGGCCACATTTTTATCTTGAAATATTTTTGGTTTTCATTTTCATTTTCTAATGTAAAGCCATTGCTTCACTTTGCCAACCTTTTTTTTTCCCCTTTTATACATTTGGTATTGACACTAAAGCAAGAAATGCTTTGGACATCAGTCTCTTTCTCTATATGTGAGATAGATAAGTGAAGCGAGAAGAGATGATCATTTTCTTTGTCTGTGAAAAACGAATGTCGACATGTGAGGACAAAATATCATCAAGAACCCGTGTTTAATTCGTTATCTACAACTACAAATGACACAATTACAATTTAAAATTAAATAGAAAAAAAAGCAAAACCAACTTCTTCGTCGGTAGCAATAAAACCACATGAATTTTGAAGTCCCCACCACCTAACTTCAATTATCTTTGCTTCTACTACAAGTCCCTTTCTCACATAAACTTCACCAATTCCTCCTATTGATCAGGTAAACTCTATGACGCACTCTCACTCTTTTTATAACCCTGCATTTTCCTTAATTCATATAATTTAGTTTTCTTGTAACTACTAATCACTAATTAGAACGTACTCTTTCTTCCTTTTTTTAACCAAACATTTGGTTCTCCATCGGCCAGTAAGAATCAAACCTTGCTTTCACTTTTAATCTTACTCGGAAAATATCTAGTCTGACAAGTTTATATTTCGTTCAGTGTCTTAACTATTCAAGAATGTTCTCTACATTAGATAGAAACATATCAAATCAAATATGTTCAACGGAAATCTTCTTCTCATCCCCTAGAAAAAGTCTTTAGCACACATCACATATCACATCACGGAGATATTAACTGGGTCTTATTATATAAAGTTTCTTTATATTATATGTTACGTCGAGCATGAGCTGCACTACCCAACGGGAATATTCGATATAATTGGCTCAGTAGTCGCTACCAACAGCCCAATATAAAATACAAACAAGAGAACAAAATTTCATTTTAAATATCCCAATGAAATGTTGCCGACAAAGAACATTTATCCTCGTGAAAATTTGGATTTATATCTTTCCTTTTTTTACTACTATCAAATTGTTATACGTAGATGAGAATCATAATCTAGAGATTCGATGGAAACAAATTTGTATGAATGATGGAAACGAGTTTTATTATTTGCAGTGAAACCATAGCAATAGTAAAAAAGACTATAGTAACATTTCTTTTGTATTGTTTTATTTGTTTCGTTAAATTGTCTACAGGGTGCATTATCATCGTTAATTGATTTCAATATGTGAGAATCTGTAGTTTCCTTATTTGGTTGTACAGAATCCAATTTTTTTTTTTTCACCAATTCATTGATATAGAAATATTACTGTTTCTATATATTGTCTAAGGTGCATTAACTTTATATATCACTGCTAAATGATTGCAACATATGAGAATCTACGGTTTCCTTGTTTGGGTGTACAAAATCCAATAGTTTTTTTTCACCGTTTTGTAATGTAAAAGAGATTCTTTCAATTTTTCCTCCTAACTTTCTTTGGGAAAATATTTTCGTAGGAACCTATACCTTGCTTGCCTTTACTGGCTGTACAAAATCCTATTTTTCTAAATAAAGCAAAAATTATATTATTTCTATTTTTTTCCACAAAAACATTAGTGGGAAATATTTTCTGGGGTATTATTGCTTGCCAGTACGACATGAAATATCTATATGTATATCAGTATATCTTTTTATTTTTGTAAAGTAGAAGGAAATTTGCTCTCTTTTTTTTTCAATTATCAAACCAGCATTTATTGGCAAACATTTTCTGGTTTTCTAATGCCATTTTCGTAGGACACATTACAAGCCAATATGTGTGCAGAGCACGTGACAAGTTGTGTTCTCAACTTCTCATCTTTTAATCTCATCCGTCCAATCTCCACTGTGGACCCCAGTTAACAAATTAAAAAAAACCCATCCAGCTGTTTCCCTCGAGCTTTACAGCTGGCACCGTCTAAATGGGTCAAGACAAGTTCCAAAACCTACCTTTCGTTTTCTATAATCTTACGGTACACCATGCCGCAGGCAAACCAAAGCCACTCACCGAAATCTTGGATTAACCTTTTTGGTTATTACAGGTAACTAAGTTTAAAGATTGCTCTTTGTATACTTTCCCTTAACGACTAAGCCTCATTGCCGTCTCACGCGCGTTTAGTGACGCGTATTTCTCAATCTCCCAAATGAGGAAACCAAATCATGAGAATCCAAAGTAAAAGCAATGCGAGAAACAGCTCATTTATAACTAATCTTTCTTCTTCTTTCTTCCTCTTTCCTTATCTCTCCATCTTTGTGGAGAGACAAAAAATGTAAAAGAACATTCTTGATATCTTTAGTATTCAGAAACTTCTTCAATCTTGCACATTGCTTAAGCATTAGCTGATTAAAAAGAAAAAAGCTCAAATCTTTCTCTCTTTCGCTTTGAATTTGGTCTCGTATTATGATAATGCCGCTCAAAGCCGTCGTTTTTGCGGCGTTCCTGTGTTTGATTTTCCTGTCACCGTTGGCCGTCGGAATACGGACGCTTCCGGGGAGGATCACGACTACCGGCGGCGGAAGAAATGAGTTTAATAAACTTGGTCCGTTCATGGAGGCTCCGGAATACAGAAACGGCAAGGAGTGCGCATCGTCGTCAGTGAACAGAGAGAACTTCGTGTCGTCGTCTTCCAATGATCCCTCCCTCGTCCACATCGCAATGACTCTGGACTCAGAGTACCTCCGTGGCTCAATCGCAGCCGTCCAGTCCGTTCTCCGCCACGCGTCGTGCCCCGAGAACGTCTTCTTCCATTTCATCGCCGCCGAGTTCGACTCGGCAAGCCCACGTGTTCTGAGTCAACTCGTCCGGTCGACTTTCCCGTCGCTGAACTTTAAAGTCTACATTTTTAGGGAAGACACGGTGATCAACCTGATATCGTCGTCGATCAGACAAGCCCTGGAGAATCCGTTGAACTACGCTCGTAATTACCTCGGAGACATACTCGATCGAAGCGTGGACCGAGTCATCTACCTCGACTCGGATGTGATCGTGGTCGACGACATCACCAAGCTGTGGAACACTGAGTTGACCGGGTCACGTGTGATCGGAGCTCCGGAGTATTGCCACGCGAACTTCACGCTGTACTTTACTTCCAACTTCTGGTCAGACCCTGTTTTACCGGGTCTAATAGCGGGTCGAACACCTTGCTATTTCAACACGGGGGTGATGGTGATGGATATGGTTAGATGGAGAGAAGGAAATTACAGAGAGAAGCTAGAGAAATGGATGCAACTTCAGAAGAAGAAGAGAATCTACGATCTTGGATCTTTACCACCGTTTCTGCTTGTGTTCGGAGGGAATGTGGAGGCAATCGATCATAGATGGAACCAGCACGGTCTAGGAGGAGACAACATACGAGGAAGCTGTCGGTCTCTGCATCCTGGTCCTGCGAGTTTGTTGCATTGGAGTGGGAAAGGGAAGCCATGGGTGAGACTTGATGAGAAGAGGCCTTGTCCGTTGGATCATCTCTGGGAGCCATACGATCTGTATAAGCACAAGATTGAAAGAGCTAAAGATCAGTCTCTGCTTGGGTTTGCTTCTTTGTCGGAGTTAACAGATGATTCAATCTTTTTGTGAGAGTTAAAAAAAAAGAGTTACTACATTCATTACAGATTTTACAATACATTTTGTTCAGGTGATTCTTTGATTTTCTGGTGTACAAATCGATTTTAGAGAGGGAGAGGATATAGAAGCTATGGAAGCCATTGATGAACCCTTCATTGAGATATCTTTGTTTCATTTTTGGTGCTCCTGTGTTTCAATATTTTGCTCTTAATAAGACTCATCTTCATGAAAAAATTAAACTGGTCTTGAAATGCATGTTTAGAGATACTTTTCATTTAGAACATTCAAGTAGTCTAGTTTTGTGATGACATTAAATTGGCTTTTGGCTTTTCGGAATCAGACTTTTGAGTTTTGGAGGTGCTATTATGGTTTGTTCATGTATCTCTTGCAAGTCTTCTCGCAATGATAATAAACCTGGTCAAGGATCATAAATTAGAGTAATAGCACATGATAAAACTCATCTGGAAGTACCTGTTGAGACTATTCAGGTTTTAAAAATTGGTGATGACATTAAAGGCTATTGACAATTGGGAATCTAAGTTTTGGTTTTGGAGAAGCAATTACAAGTTGTTCAGCATCTCTTCCACGTCTTCTGCCAATGTTGATAGACCTGGTCAAAGGTCATAAATGATTTGTTGAGATTACTATTGGGCTGGGCTATTAAAGCCCAAAAACGTCTTTCCTGTGTCCATAACTTTTCGAAGTAGTTTCACCGATGACTTGAGAAGAATCTATGTGGTCCCGCACAGTCACAGGTGTCCTGAGAAGAGGAGGCAAACATTTATTAGACCAAAATTTAGACACTTAATAACAATAGATAATTAAAGAAGCTGTTTAAAAAAAAAGATCATTAAAGAAGCAAACTCGTAACTAGTACTTAGTACGCAAGTAGAACAGTGTTTATTGTCTCTGATCTCTCTAAATCGCCTTAAAGTTATCACTTCCACATTACTATTTTTTTTCTTCCAATTAATGGTCCCACCGACTCTTGTCTTCATTGCCGATCTGACTCTAATCTCTATCTCTTCTCCTTCTCCATCTTCCTTTTGCTTTTCATCACTCTCCCTCTTGTTAAATCTGCATTTAAGATTTTTTTCAGTTGGGTGCTAAAATTATATAATCATTTATTCTTTGAAAGGTCTTCCCTTTTTTTTTGATTCGTCAAAGTCTTCAACTTTGAAAGATATTGGTTTTACTTTAAAGAAGCTGTTTTCAACTTTTTGGTGTGTCCACTCGAAGCAGAAATCCAAACTTGGAAAAAAGGTGGATCATCATTGGGAGCTAACAACAATTTTGTTTTGTGGGTTATCTTCACTTTATTTCTGGTAAGATTTCAGATCCTCAGTTCTGTGTCTCTTAGATTCTCTCTCCTTTCAAAGTGAAATTCAGCACTTACAATCATTGATGAAGATTTTTGGGGTCTTTCTATGTTTCTTCAATTATTAGAAATGAATCAATGATTATTCTTTTTAACTAAGTATACACTTTTCCACAAGAATCTGAGTTTGCTCACAATGAGGGTTTACAAAAAGACGAAAGTGAAAGTGAAAGTAGCATGTAGATCTTTCTTAATTAAGATGAAACGTCTATGGTTGATATAAAATTTCCTGGATTTTGTGTGGATTAGGCTTATTCTGCTGAGCATTAATGGGGGATATGCAAGTTGGTGTTGCCAATATTGACAATAAGGTACTGTCTCTGTATCTCCTTTAGATTTCTGCTCTAATTAGTCTCTGTTTTTGTGAGATCTTCCAAGTTCTGGACTTGATTGTTCTAGTCTCTGTTTTTAGGGGTTTTATGGCTTGATGGAGGATAAACCGGTGGCTTCCTCGAATCCGAGCCTGCAAATGTCGGTTTCATTTGGTAGGTTTGAGAATGATTCACTTTCATGGGAGAAGTTCTCAGCTTTCTCTCCAAACAAGTACTTGGAGGAAGTTGGAAAGTGTGCAACTCCAGGGTCAGTAGCTCAAAAGAAGGCTTATTTTGAAGCACATTACAAGAAGATCGCTGAGAGAAAAGCTGAGATCATGGACGAGGAGAAACAAATGGACAAGAACGCGTCTTTTAGATCCATCGTTACAGATAAGGGGAGTATGGAAGGCGAAAATGGCGGGTTGGTGGCAGAGTCCGGGGTTGATGAAGGATCTAATGAGAAATTCACTTGTGAAGAGGATAAATATGTAACTGACGTTGCAGCTGAAGTGAGTGTCGACGAAGAAGTGAAGAACACACTGGATAAATCAGAAGAGATGGTTCTTGTGGATGAGAAATCAGAAGTGGTTGTCCGTGTGCAGGAGAAGCCAGAAGAGGTGAGAGAGAATGTAGAGGATGTAGAAGAGAGTGAAGTGAGAGAAGAAGTTCTATCGAATGATACTATTGGTGATACGAATGAAACGCCAAAGAAAGAGATGAAAAAGGAGAAAACCCAACAACTAAACAAGAAGGATGGAAATGTTGGCAAGAATCGTATAAGAAACTCTCCGAAGGTAAGCTTTTCAAGTTTTTTTGTTTGATTTGTGTTCTTCGTTTTGGTTTTCTAAAATGCTCTATTGCTTTTCTTGTTTATTACAGCCTGATCAGGTGAGGACAAAACCGGAAGCTAACAAGATTGTAACAAGTAGGAAAACTCTACCGAGCAAGGAGATGAGAAACATGGTGAAGGCAACAAAGAAACCAGCAGCACCTATCTCAAAAGCCACACCAGGGTTTTCAACTCCAAGAGTGTACAAGTCAGCTTCAAAAGTCACTTCATTGTCTACATCTCAGTCTTCGGTAAAGAAGGAAAATGTCTCGTCTTTATTGAGAAACAAACAAACCGCTCCGAAGTCATTGCATATCTCTATGAGTCTTGGTCCATCTGCCTCGGATCCTGCTGCTCTTACAAGCACTAGAAAATCATTGATTATGGAGCGAATGGGAGATAAAGACATTGTGAAACGTGCATTTAAATCATTTCAAAAGAGTTATGACTTGAAAACTTCTGTCGACGAGCAAAAGCCAGCTCTAAAACAGGTATATTAATATTCAGTTATGTTTTGTATTTTAAGATTGTGAAAGATTATGTACTGACCAGCTACTTAAAACGCTAGAATCCTGCAAAGGCAGCTAGTATTCCGTCAGTAGCTACTCGTCAGAAGCAAAATGGCAGGTAAACTCATGGGACTGGTGGTTTCTTGCTTGCTTTACTGAAACTCATCATCTCATGTTTTGAGTCATAAAGTTCGGTTCTTGTCCTAAAAACCAGGCCCACTACAAAAACAAGTAGCATGGAGAAGACAAGTGGTACTAGTGCTCGTTCTTCATCTCATGGACTCAAAAGCAACGGGACCACAGAGAAACAGCAAAAGGAGGTAAATATCTCTGTCATGAGCAAACTAAACATGGAGGTTTACTCTAACAATCTCTGCATACTCACGCTAATACTTTCTTCACGGATGTTCAGCTTTCCAAGTCTAGTGCAAGACCTGTAGAGAAGACACGCTTGCAGAAGAACCCAAAGGTTTACAAATTTTTCTTCACTTTTCAAACCCCGTAAGATATATTCTAGTCTCATTACTTTCCGTGTTTAGCAGGCAGGAGTGACTGATGCCATATCCCGGAGGGAGTCTCTTAATCCGAAACCAAAACCCATGCAGAGTTCTCTTCCACTACGGATTTCACCAAAAGGCTCTTTAGACAAGGTGTCATGATAGTGTATCAGTCCCGTTTTTAGTCTGATCTTGTGGATGGAACTCGGGTATGAGGGCTGAAGTTCAAGGCGAATATTGGCACCAATGTTGTTCCATAAAGAACCAATGATCTTTTGTTATATAGAGAAGTCTCTAGTTGCCAGTATTTAGTTGTGGAAGGAGTAATAAAAGGCCTTAATGTTGATATTCCTGAAGGGATGATAAATAGTTATATTTTACATTCCTGTGTATGTGTATAGACTACGAGGATTATGTTGTTTATCTCAGTATGAACAGAAGCGAATCGAATCAATCTTGTTTATGTTCACCAGATGAGCTACATAATAATTCTTCAAACCCATTATCTAGGATTGTTGATCATTGAACAGTAATGACAACTTGAGAAATGAGTAGATACATAAAGAATATATATATATATATATATATATATATATTTTAAGTTTCGTTGTTTTGTTCCTTTTTACGAGTGTGTCACTAATGATGCAATCAAGCACCTTCCAGTTATTTGTCTAGTATTCAAACTCTTGACTTCTTCGTCTGTCTTCATCAACTTTTAAACCTATAAATTCATGAATAACAATCTTGACCTTGACTGTTTCTGAGGATGAGGCCCCTATTACACTTATTATCAATGAGCTATCATTGTTTTTTTTTTTGATGATGCAATAAAATCTTTCCTGTATGAAGAAGCAAAGAATGACTTCACACGGGCAAAGCTAAAAGACTAACAAACATTGAATCTTCACTGATAAGCAAATGTGAATTCATTGTTATTTATCTTCTCCTTACAACAGAGAGAAATTTGTACAAGGTCTGAATTTGTCTCCTCCATAAATACCTTTCTTTTTAGAGAATGGTGAAAATGTGACCAAAGTTTTAAACCGAATATTATTGGTTCATAACATGAAGAAGAGCCAAACTGCAAATCTCTGTACTTATATTATTTGGTATGAACACTATTCAAGAAACAAAACCTCGTACTATTTATCTTAATCAACACTTCAAAAAGCTATTCAGGCAAAAAAAAAATTATATAATCAATACCCAAACGATTCTATTATATACAACAAAACAAATTATCAGTCTCATGTATCTGAATCTGATCCACCGGAATCACTTTTTGATCTATCCGACATGAAATTCGAAGGCAGAACCGGAAACTTAACCGCGGTCCTATGCTCCTGAGGACTCACCATTGTCTTCCTCTGCAAATTCCTAGCGATCTCTACGCATACTTTATCAACCATAGCAAGAAAATCTTTAACAATAACAAACAGATGAAGTGGATTCTTCCCTTTCACAGCTCCCGCTTGGTAATACTCTGTTGTCCTCTTCACAAGCTCCATCACTTTCTTCTCTTCTTCTCTCGCTAGCTTCACCTCTTCCTCGACCGAATCAAGAAACTCAACCATCTTCTTCACAAACCTCTCTCCTTCTCCGTCTTCTCCTCCACATTGGCCTAACACTCGTCTAGCGTTTTTAGCTCTAGAGGAAAGAGCCAAGCAAGTCGCTGAAACCGTCTCGTAGTCTATAGATGCAGCTTTCTTAACGTTTGTGAACTCAGTGCTTAACCCTCCAACGACAGGTAAACCGAGCCTTAAATACTCCTTCTCTTGCTCTTCCTTTGATATAACCTCTGAGATCGAATTGCTACTGGTTCGGTTTAAGCTCCTCCGGTTAACCACGCATCGCTTCCCTTCCGATCTAACCACTTCCTCCACCACGAAGTTGAGCAGCGTCGTCCTCCCGTCGACGCTCTTCACGTCGGAGAGTTTTAACAAAGCGGTGAGGTTAAAAGCTTGAGCGTCTCCTCTAGCTGTTCCTGCATTCATCCTGTTTCCAGATTTCAGTATCGCTTCAAGAAGCTTAACGAACAAGCCTCGTGACCTGAGCTCTGTGCAAGCAGAGTCAAGCGTCTTGAGAGATTTGTTGTGGTGAGTGATCTCTGGATAGTAATTAGCCCTGAAGAGTAAAGCGTTGAGACGAGTGAACGCGCAAGGCACGGCCTTTAGGAGATGAAACAGGAACGATTCCGCGTCGGCGAGCTTTGCTGTGTCACCGTCGAATTGGAGAATCGCTGATTGTTCTTCGTTCGTCGGAGCTATTCTCGCGAGCCTCTCGAGTGTCTCTGGGTGGAAATCGTTGCCTTCGTTTAACGATTCCACGAGCTCGTCTCGGGAGATTCCTAGGGATTTGAGCACGATCGCTGTGTTTTGGGATTTTCTCGGGTCGAGGATGAAGATCTGTGTCGGAGAGGTTGATGTCGGTTTTTTGTTATCGCCGCCGTGGTCTGGAGATTTCTTCCCGACGGCGACGTAGCCGAAGAGAGCCTCCATTAGATCGCCATCGAAGCTGGAGAAAGAAACGAAATTTTGAAAAAGTTGGGATTTTTATTGACGAAAACATGTAAAAGATCGAAATTTGATTGATAGCTACGTACCTGAATGAGCCACGATCGATTTTGTCCCAAACCATGGAATGATCAGAGTCAGGGTTGACTTTATCCCAATGAAGAGGCTTGAGCTTGACCTGACCATTTCCAGCGCTTGAACCTTCCCCTGAAGATGACCCTCTAGGAGCCGGCGGTGGTTTTGAAGCCGATGACGACAGAGCCGCCGTCTTCTTCAACGGCGGAGGCGGTGGCGGAGATGAACCGTTATTAACAGGCCTAGTGGGAGGGGGAGGAGGAGGAGGCGCCGGTTCACTCTGCTTAACCGGAATCGGCGGAGGAGGATTCGGTTTGGCGAATTCGAAAGAATCAGACTTTCCAGGAGGAGGAGTAGGATGGGTGGTGGTGAGATTCCGGTGAGTATCGTTGTGAATTACACTGTGAGAAGTCGAGGATCTTCCTCTGAGAAGAGGAATCTCCGTAACAGGTTCCGATTTCTTTTTGTTCTTCTTCTCTTCGTCGTCTCCGTGGTGGACGGTCTCTTTTCGAAAGCTTCCGCTTTTGTTGTTGTTGTTGTCTCTCTGACTCTGCTGCGACTTTCTCCAATACAACACATCGAGCCCGTTCTCGTCCAAGATCAAGCCTTTGACGTTTCCGCCGATTCGTGTAAAGCCCTCGCGAGCCAACGCAGATTCCGCCAGCGGAGGAACCGGTGGGAGGGTGTTCTCGACGCCGACTCTGTCTCTCCGTCTCTGCCGTCGCCGCCGAGCGCATATATGGACGAAGAAGAAGAACACAGCTGCTACGAGTAAGGTGCTTGCGGCTGTTATGAGCACAGCCCTCGTGATCTTTTGTCTGTCCGAAGACGACGACGACGGTGGGTTTTGAGTCGGCGATGGAGGCGGAGCGGGCGGAGAGGAGAGGCCGGTGACATTTGGGAAAAAGGTTTCGATGTTTCGAGGAGAATCGGATTGAGAAAGGGAATGATAAGGGAAAAGGAGAATTAGGATTAGAGTCAATTGAAGAGGAAGAAGAAACGTTGGCCATGGCTGCTTCAACATGGCAGCCATGGAAAATTAACTCATTTGCTAAGAGAATTGAGATCAATGAAAGGGTGAGAAAAAAATCCGCAAAAAGGTAACGTCTTTTGTTACCTCTGTTTCAGTTTCAGTTTCGGAAAAACTGACAAAGTAATCATTTTAAAATAGTTTTGTTCTGTGTGGGTTTTGAGTTTTTTCAATGGGGACTTTTGGAGGGTTTTTGGTATTGTGTTGTTGACGACGTCTACAAAGAGGAGAGGAGTAGTTGATCTGTTCTGTAAAAGAATTTGTAAATGTTCGCATTACGAAAATACCCTTGGGTATGGAGTTAACACGATGATTATTACAAGGGACGTTCTAGTCAATTGTCTTTCGACTCTTTTGAAGAAGACTCGGCTATGGTCTTGTTGTGCCGTGAACAAAGTTTTGGTTGGTGGGGTTGACCTTATGTTTGACTTGGTCTGAACGAGTGCAAATTATTAGAGATTTTTGATTTTGATGTTGATTTTTTTTTTTTTGGAAAAGAGCCAATTATTAGAGATTTGGCCATTTGGGGTTTAGATTGTCAAAATATTTTTTAGTTTTTTTTTCTCTTTTGTTCCAGTTACCTTTTAATGCAGGTCGAAACAAATCAAATGGAATCTTTATGCAAAGAAAAGGGTAACTACGCTTTGGGAATTTCGGAACATTATTTAAACAAATTAAAGGCATGAAGTTAGTAGACCTAGAAAAAATTCTCGAAGTTATAGGAATAAATAATCAATTCCCTATCCTATCATAAAGAACAAAAAAAACGAGATTTATATATAGTGTTTCGGTTTCTCAGATGATACAGTTTTATATTTTTAAAATGTACTCCATTATTTTGTCAAAATCAACCGCTACCAGATCTTTCGGGTAATACATATAAATATGATAGTTGATTACAAGAAAGTATGAAAAGAAGATATATGAATGAGTTATTTCTTTTTACAAAAAAAAAAGGTGGGAATATGTGAACATGTAGGTGTGTAACCAAAGGTACTATCAGAGAATTTTAAAATTCTGTTTTTATTTGATAAGCTGAAATGAAACAACTGCTAATATTAGTAATTAGTGCATAGTAATTGCCATTAGTTAATGCGCGACGCGGTATCACACTCGTGAACGAAAAAGTAAACAGGTTTATCTATTTATTTAGAGACGTCTTCTAGACTTCTACTAGAACGAAATTGTTCTTCTTTATCAAAAAAAGAAATTGTTCTTCGTCAAAAGCGGATGTGCCTGCTTCTTCTTTAGTCAAACTTCTTGACTTTTTGTTCCCTCTTAACTCTTTAGAAGTTAAAAAACTTAGACTATAATTATTTTTGTTTTGAACAGGCGACTATCGCTATAATTTTCTTTTTTTTTTTGATAAAGACTATACACTATGATTTTCTTTTATAACGTATCAGTTTTCGTCAAATGTAATTTATGCTTTAGGCACACACCAACTTTGTATATGTATATATATATACAAAAACTTTGTTACCTAAGGAGGATAACACAAACAGAACAAAATTTGGGATACCATATATTTACTAAAATGTGTGCGAAAATATTTAAAGCTTCAACTGATTTATAAAAGTTTGCAAAATTAAAATTTTATAGCCCAAAAGAAACAATATCATTGCAGATGTTTTCGATACCAATATCTGAGGCATACCCATGTAACTCATTCACCACTTTACAGTCCGCTTCAGAACATACTTTAGTGAAATACATGCTTCAAACATTTCGCATAGCCAGCAAGACTTTTTTTTTTTTTATGTCTGCCTCAAGAGAATGATGTTCCTAGCACATCAACTATATATGCTCGATTGGAAAATTCAATATAGCAATTCTCTCCTTGCAATTTTTTCTCGTAGAAAATATAATGTTAGTTGATATTTTCTGAAAATATAATGTTAGTTGATATTTTCTGAAAATATAATGTTAGTTGATATTTTCTGAAAATATAATGTTAGTTGATATTTTCTGAAAATGGGGTTCTGTATATTATTTTTTTGCTAACGGTACAAGAACAAGATCGTTCATAATTTAAAACAAGGCATTTGAATGGTCAGAGTCGTTTAAGAACAAGATCGTTCATAATTTAGTTGGAGCCATGAGAGACCAAAAGTTTCTGAATGGAGCCATGGAAGGTTCCACACTGACAAGTTGTCTTTTCTTCCTCAATTTCCCAATCAATTTCTTAATTTTATTTATTAACTTCTTCATCTTGTACGTATTGCTACGGTCCAACATAGCCAATTACCTTTACAAGGAAAGTCAGACTAGTCGTCTCACGTTCATCATTACATCTTTTATAGAGAAGTAAGAAAATACTATTTGAATTGTCTATTTTGTACACATGAATGTTATACATATTGGGCTACTACAATAAGCTCAATATACAATTTGAATTAAAGCCCAAATTGATTCCTCGGGTTTTCATGTCATGACAAAGCGTTCCAAATTCCAAATTAATGTTTTTTAATCTTTGAATTTGACTGTAATGAGATCCATTATTACTTTCCGAATCACGAGAAGAAAAAGAATATCAATAGTCGATATCAGTTATGCATGACTCAACTATAAATTGATCACCCATGCAAGCATTTCCAGTACCTCACTCGAAATATAAGAAAGCTATCTTGTAGTAATAAAATTGAAGCTGATTTGATAAGTATCGTGAAGATGTTTGGCTTCGGATGCTTCATGATGATCGTATCTTGCGTGGTTATGATTTCTCAGGCGATTATGGCGGTTATTAATACCGCTAATGCTTTTGGATACATGTAGGAGGTAGATATGTTTACCTCCAAATTGCTATTAGAATTTATATAAAAAAATAATAATATGCTCTATATTGTAATCGATCGGGCTTAAAAGTCAGATCTCATAATGGATTATTACTAAATAAATCTTGCTTCTTATTTCCTATTATTTAGTCATTTCTCATTTCATTTTACAGTTTCTAAGTTTCTATATTATTGTTCTTATACGCTCTTCCAAACTGTAAAATCATATAATATATCCAGATGCTCATCAGTTATATTAGGATTGTATAAGTTGCTCTCAATACGTTCTGGTTTCTCTGGTGTTTTATAGCACACATTGTCTGAGCTTCTTACATTAGTTTTGAGTTGTTGTCTCTTTCTCTTTTTTAATAGCCAACAAATTATGTGTCAAGTTTCATATTCTACATTAGTGTTTCACGTTCCAAAAATTATGCTTACGCCAGGTACGTGAAAATAAGATTGATTCATCTTTCCAATCTAATAACAAGACTAATTCTCACGATAGAAACCATTTATAATTAAATTACAAGTATATATATAGGATTCGGACATGTCATCCAGTCCGTATATATAGGACATACTAAAACACCTAGTAAAACACCTACTTATAAGTAGTAACCATTAAATTCTAAGAAAGAAACAAATGAACTTAGTCATATATAAATGATCACCTTTCAATCTCTGATTGGATTAATGATTAATTAATAGTTGAGCACTCGAAAATGATCATAACCAAACTCAAAAGAATTTTGACGATCACATACACATTGACGATGCATGCCATGCACATCCATATATATGAGAAGAACTATTCATCACCGTCATATTGATTTTGGTAAAGGGTCATCACCTATTTTACTACTACTTTTACTCTCTTATGTAAAGCCTTGCATTGCAAGCAAGCTCAAATCTTCTTCGTCTTTGTCTTTTTGGAAATCTACTTTTTCTTCTGATGCACTTTTTTTATAGTCTTTTTCCTGTTTCTCTGTATATTCCTTTTGCTCTCTTATGTAAAGCCTTGCATTGCAAGCAATCCCTTGTATTATTTATAATGCCTCTTTGGCTAAACCATCAAAGCGAATTTTCCCCATTTGAGTCGCCGGTTTCCAAAAATATGGGGAATTCCGAGTCCAACTCTCGAAACGACCAAGTCCCGCCGGAGAAACCTGGAGATTCGTCCAGTAATTCTCGAGATATAAAAGGAAGTGGTGGTTGCAAAGAATCATACACGGGTTTAGAAGATGGCGCTGATGAAGCTGAGAAGAAGCAAGAAAAGTTATTTTGGGCGCGACAGGAATGTATGGAGGCTCACTCTGATTACTATCAGCCGATTCTCTCCGCGAGGGCAGCTTTTAGAAAAGCAGCGTGGAAGGATCTCTTGCCGTCAACTGCAGGGCGAGATATAAGGGAATGCATGGTAGAGGCAAAGGTGAAAGAGGAAACAGCAAAGCACATCGAGTTCATGGAACGAGGTGCTTGCAGTGAATCATTCAGGGCTTGGAACGACTAGTACGATTTAGAAACAGAAGTAAAGCGTTCTTTGAAGATGAGGAAGTGTTTGGAGATTCACTCTGATTACTATCTGCCGTTTCTTGCGGCGATGGAAGCTGGCCAGCAAGCGGCGGAGAAGGAGTTGAAACCCTCCTTACCAAGTGGTGTGGGGATTGACGAGTTCATGGAACGAGGTGTTTGCCCTTGGACGAAGTCGAGCAGAATAAGATCTTTCTTTAGATGGCTGTTATTGGCTAGGATTGACTGAGAGGATTTTAGGTTTTATTTTATTTTTCTTTAAGGTTTCTTCGTTTAAAGGATTATCAATATTGGATTTGGGGATTAATTTGTTTCTCTAGGAACATAAATAAATTTCGTTGTTGGATTAAAAACTTACAAGACCATTGATGGTCGAGTTTCTTCTCTAACTGTCACTTTATCAATTTTTTTTTTTTTTTTTTTTTAACTGTGAACGTTTCCCTCTGAATATAAAAAAATAGCTTAAGATATTAGATACCCTAGTATTGTAGACGAATCATCGACTATTTAGCATATTCTCTCCATACTCCCTTAGAGTTTAATGGGAAACCATACTTCCTTAGAGTTTAATTATGATCAGATTCGAGTTATTAACTGCCCACTAATCCAATCACAAACCCACCAAACCAGCTGTCATCGTTCAGTCTCTGATTGGATTACATGGCAATTAATAGTTGGGAACTCGAATTTGATCATAATTAAACTCTAAAGAATTTTGACGGTCACATAGAGATCAATGACGATGCATGGCATGCATAACCCTATAAAAAGAACCATTCATCACCCATTTTTTCCTCACAACTTTTTACCAAATCTCAATCATATATATATAATCAAAGTGGAGATGAAATGTCTTGGGGAAATTTGTTTTCGAGGGTTTCGAAATGGTTTCATAACTCAGTCTCCTCCGCATTTGCCAAGCTTCGGAGTTGCTTTGCTGGCTTTATTGCTAAGCTCCGAAATTTCTTTGTTGCGGCTATATCTAAGATTCGTGGTTTCTTCACTGCGATAGTTGCAAAAATTCGCAGTTTCTTTGTTGCGACTATATCTAAGATTCGTGGTTTCTTCACTGCGATAGTTGCAAAAATTCACAGTTTCTTTGCTAAGGCTATTGCTAATGTTCGCAGCTTCTTCTCTGCTGTGACTACATTATTTCGCCTTGTTCAGGAATTGCAAAAGCCGCTCAGCCTATTAAAGGACTTCTTGAACATTTTAGACAGTGACGTGGCGCTTCATAGCAAGTTCCTGCGTGTCCTCAAAATCTTTAATCGATTTGTGGATTTGGGACCGCTCTTTGGTGGAATGCTTCATCAACACTAAGTATGGTTCTTATTCTAGTTTGCATGATCCAGTTGTCGTCTTTTTTCAAATAAATTATAAATCCTATGTTGAAGCAGCTATTGTTGTTTTGTGCAGTTAAAATATAATGGATTATCGTTTCTATTAATTTATTTAACTACTCGTCTTTCTACAATGCCTCTCACTGTTATTATCGTTTTAATTTCAATATTAGTATATATAACATTCCTTCTTGTTCTTTCTTCGATTCTCCTCTTTGTTTTTTAAATGCTAATTTATTTACGCCCATGTTTCCTTCCATAATCTCGCGAGTAGAACTAGTAAATTATCCTGACAAACAAAGAAAATGAAACATCTCGAAGCAAATCAAGTCTCAAGAGACGGAGTTTTCTTACAATTTTTATGGACACTGACATCGGACATCGGAATAAACCAAAACGTGTACTGTCTGCAACATTGCCGTATATATAATTTGGTCAATATTACCTCATACATATGGAGTACCGAAAGTTAGTGCCTTCTTGTGAATAAGAATTTTGTATTCTTTTTAACGTTCTTACAAAGTTTAGTTTATCTCTCCAATCTATATCATTGAGAAAGCCCTTCTAAGGTTCCTCCAAAGTCTATCATCCTCTTCCTCCAAACGTTGTTGCCTTTTTACAATTTATTTCATTCTTTCAACTGTTATATGCTGAAGATAAAGTTTTGCTTGAAAGAATAACAGTTATAGTGGATATTAGGCAGTATATAAGTAGAAAATTCTTATTATGCAAGATTTAATATTTTAAAAATAAATTGTATTAGTCTTCATCCGGGTCTTGGGAATTAATACTCACATTTCATCGTGCCTTTGCAGGTCAGATGTATTAGAATCAAATCTCGAAATATCAATAGCTTGGCTTTTCCCTTTTCCCTATACATTGTATTGGCTAAAATTTCCAAAATATTGACCATAACATGTTGCATAGTAGTTTAGGACAGTGTCATTCATTTTTGCATCACATTCGAATTCAAACATGTTTAATGCATGTTGTTAAAATAAAAGTCTAAACCACATTCAATAATAAATATATCTTTATTTTAGGAAAATTTTATTTTAGGAAAGAAAACATATCTTTGAATAATAATAAAATTCTTTGAATTCTATATGTATTTAGCAATTTCACTAAAGTTAGACATTAATTTTTTAGCAATTTCATTAATATTTAAACTACATTCTATAATCTATCACATGCCAATGTTTTTGGTTATAAATAGATTTATCATCGTCCGTGAAATGCTTAAAACAACAAAAAAAAAGGGAAATTAAAAGTGAAAGGGATTTTTTAAAACAATATGATGGTGAAGCTCATCGCTGTCCTTACTGTATTTAGTTTGTTGTTTGCTACTCGATTTTCTAATGTAAGAGTTAAAATACTTGTTTTTCTTCTTTTGGTTTAAGAATTCGTTAAACATTAGTTCTCTTATATTCATATGCATCTTGTTTTTGTACAGGCTGTTGAACTAAAAAGTCCATCCGAAGCACCTGCCATTCATAAGGTATATTTTATTAAAAATTCAAAGATGATTAGTAATATATAATACGTACAAGAATATATCGTTAGACTTTTATTATATATGTGTGCGTATCAATCTTAACGTGTTATCAACAATGCTCTTAAAACAAATTCAGATGGGAGGAGAAGGTTCACTTACTATAGAAGGTAATATTGTTCAAAAAATTACTTATTCTCTAATTTTTTTAATAGATCGAGTGAGATTTTATCTCGAACTTTATAATTTATTTAATTTTATCTATATTTATGTGAAGAATGTCCGAAAGCATGTGATTTCCGATGTTCGGCGACATCTCACAAAAAACCATGTTTATTCTACTGCAACCTATGTTGTAAGAAATGTTTATGTGTACCGTCAGGAACGTATGAACATAAAGAAGAATGTCCTTGCTACGATAACTGGAAGAACAAAAGAGGCGGACCAAAATGTCCATAATAACACAAAAAAATATATATATCAATTTTTGTTTTCTCTTAAAAGAAAATCTATGTATTTGGTCATGCTTTCTTTTAATATATATAATATAATATGAAGTCTCATTCTTGTGCCACATATAAACTTACGTACGGAAAATTGGCTCCAATAATATTTTCAATGCATAAAAAATTAGCTCCCTGTGTTCCCTTAAAACCATATATATAGGTCTTTTAATTTTGTTTAACTGCTGCCTAATAAAAGCCTTTGCTTCTTTTACTCGAAATTTATTTTTGTAACTGAGTTGTAGATTCTTTAAAGGTACCTTTCTTATGCTCTTTGGAATATTATACATGTGCTTGGAATGGTTCATCAACACCAAATATGGTTCTTTTTAGTTTATGCTCTTATTGTCGTTTAAAAAAAAAATTGGAAAAACAAATTCGATATGAACCAGCTATTGTTGTTTTATGCAGTTAAAATGTAATGGATTATCGTTTTCTTAGTTAAATAATGGATTATCGTTTATATTAATTTCTTTAACTTATCGTCTTTCAATAGTGTCTCTTACTGTTATTATCGTATTTTATATCAGTTTATATAACAATTCTTCTTGTTCTTCTTAGATTCTCCACTTTTTTGTGCTAACTTGATTTACACACCCATTTCTTTCCAACTGCTACAGAAGCGGGAGCTTAAATCTAAACCCATACCTCTGCAGTTTATATAATAAAGTCTGATTGGTTAATTAATGGATTTTAACACTTTTAATTTTCTCTAAAGCCTTTGCAATTTTAAAAGTGTTTTTACCGATCAGAGCTTTAAAAAAAAAAAATTGATATAGTGGATAGGCCGTCTATAAATACCTGCTAATCTTTGAATCTTAAAGGAGTTTGCTGTAGTTTTGATTATATACTTCTAAAAAATAATGCGAGAACTTCTATATATAAATTCAAATTCTTATGATACAAATAGTATATAAAAGTATTGTTTTAGTCCTCTTTCGAGTCTTGGGAATTACTCATGTATTAGCCGCACATTTCATCGTGAACTTACAAGTTAGTTTTAACCGCATATATTAGTCAACGAAATATCAAAGCTTCGTTTGTCCTTATACATTATATTGGGTAAAAATTCCAAAATATAGACCATAACATGTAAATTTAGGACAGTTTCATTCATTGTTGCATCACCATTTGAATTCAAACATGTTTAATGCAAGTTGTTAAAATCAAAGTCTAAAACATATCTTTATTTTAAATTAACTTAGGGGAAAAAACCGTATCTTTGAATAATAATAAATCTTTGAATACTATATGTATTTAGCAATTTCATTAAAGTTGGACACTATATTCTATATTACATGCCAATGTTTTTGGTTATAAATAGATTTATCGTCGACCGTGAAATACAAATCAAAATCAAAATCAAAAAGAGAAATCAAAAGTGAAAGGAATTCTTTAAAAAAAAAAAAAATGGTGAAGCTCATTGCTGTCCTTACTGTATTCAGTCTGTTGTTTGCTACTCGATTTTCTAACGTAAGTGTTAAAATACTTGTTTTTCTTTCTTTTGGTTTAAGAATTCATTAAACATTAGTTTTCTTATATTCATATGTATATTTTATGTACAGGCTGAGGAACTAAAAAGTCCATCTGAAGCACCTGCAATTCATAAGGTATATTATTATAAATATTTCAAAGATGATTAAAAATATATAATGCGTACAAGAGTATATCCATTGTTATAAGAATATATTGTTAGACTTTTATTATATATATATATATATATATATATGTGCGTGTTAATCTTAACATATTCAATTTCTATCATCAACAACTTATGTGTGCACTCCAAAAAAAATTCAGACGGGAGGAGAAGGTTCACTTACTGTAGAAGGTAATATTGTTTAAAACATTATTTATTCTCTAGTTTATATAATCGATGAATGGATCGAACGAGATCTTATTTCGGACTCTATAATTTATTCAATGTTATTTTATATTTGTGTGAAGATTGTCCGAAGGCATGTGATTTCCGATGTTCGAAGGCATTTAAAATGGAGTCATGTTTGTTCTACTGCAACCTATGTTGTAAGCAATGCTTATGTGTACCATCAGGAACATATGGAAACAAAGAAGAATGTCCTTGCTATAATAATTGGAAGAACAAGAGTGATGGACCAAAATGTCCTTAATATCAGAAAAAAATAAAGACGAAATATCTTATTTTTGTTTTCTTTTAATAAAATTCATCTACTAGATCATGCTTATTTTTCATAATATAAAATGTAATATGAAGTCTCATTCCATTGCAACTAAAGTTATGGTGAATACTGGTTCCAATAATCTCATAAATGCAACAAAATTAGCTCCATGATCCCATAAAACCATAGATTTTTTAACTTTTGTTTGACTGCTGCCTAAAAGTAGTCTTCGCTTCTCTTACTCCTGATTTCTTTTGATATCTAACTTGTAGATTCCTTAAAAGTACCTTTCTTATGCTCTTTTGGAATATTATAAATTTGCTTGGATTTCAGTTTTTCAAGATCTGCTTAACTAACTCGACTCATCCCTCGTTAATTGGGTAGAAAACAATAGTACGTTCTAGAAAATATAACCCATTCATTGAGAGATTGGCCATGCATGGTCCATAGATATAAATTTCTTATAACATTATATATATATATGTATATATGTATATATTACAACTCCAACTAACAAAGAGGCAAAATAGAAAAAGTTCAACAGATAGTATATATCATACACATGTATTGAATTTTGCATCCGATAAACCTAAAATGTATAGAAGTGGCAACACACAAGCATACGAAACAAAGAACCATAGAAAAAGCATCACGATATATATAGATGCATTTAAAGTTTTACGGATCGGATTAATGGCCATATATGCGGTGACATTCCTCGGACCGAGTGCATGTCATGGGTGAGCCGTTGAACGATTGACAACGTTCAGTGGTGGTGCAGCTAATAGTATAACAATAGGAAGAGTACGAGTTGCAGGCTGAACAAAGGGAGGACGAGTATCCTCCTGGAAGAGGACGGAACTCACCATGATCAGGACGCAAAGTGGTCGCCATGTTTTTAAAAGTTTTGGGTCCCGAGCAACGTTTCGTTATGCTCGGTCTAATGTGCATTTTGGAGCTTCTGTGGTCATCGCCTTCCAAATTCCTCCTCATATTGACTGTCTCTTCTGCATTACCCATACAATTCACTCTTCAATATACGTCATCAAGCCTTTGGTAATTTCAATGATATATATTAAACTTTTTATCTATATTGAACTACTTGTACATAGCGAAATAGTAACTACGTAACTAAATAGCATACGTATGTTCTATATCTTTTAAAAAGGTATGATTTTGCCTATTAATCTGGAGAACAAACGACTAAGAAATGAATATGCATGGTTAAAAATATAGAGATGTAGAAAGAAATGAGTTTCTCGAGAACGATTTAAATACTTGTAAATGGATCAAATGTTTTAATATTATCAACGTCTTTTACTAGTAATAAAACATAAATATAGAAGGAAAAAAAAAGGCTCACTAAGTTTGCGGATTTCAGTTTGAGCACCAAAAGCTTCATCCATATGAAAGGAAAACACGAGAAGGAGAAGAAACAGCATTGAAGAAACTATAGAAGACAACATCTAATGATTCTCAAGTCTCGTTTATATTTACTAATCACTGTGACACGTTTAGGCATTTATATGAATATAGAGAGGTATAAAGATAAAAGATATTTGAAACTTATGGTCGAGACTTAGGTCAAAAAAGTTGGAGGTCCAGATAAGAAAGTGAGTGCTGAAGCTATGGACGGGTAAATTTGTCACTAGTGGGTTTTGCGTTTTAGTACTCCGCACACCAAGTCTTATTAGTATATATAACTTGGTCAAGTGTGTTGCATTGCATTGTACTTTCCTTTTCTCATGAGTTTTATATATTAACTGTTTTTTTTTTGTTTGAAACAAGGAGTGCAATACAATGATTTTCTGGGAGTTCACTGATTACCCATAGTACTATTCGCGTCCAAACACGTTTGATTGTAGAGTTCTGATAGGATATATCTAGTGCATTAGTGTGATATGATGGGGGATCCAATATGATGGTATCCGGATTTTGCTTATCACTTGACTTGATGAGAATCATTACGTACAAATAAAATTATATTCATGTTTTTTTTCTTTGAATAAAGAGATTAGTCTTAGATAGAAAAAGAGTCTTCGAGATTTAAACTAGTTTTGAAATGTAGTATTGACACATATAATATATAAAATGGCTATACAGACTATATCAAATGAGTTTCATATTAATATTTTTCAGATTCTGCTTTTATTTTTTTTATAGGCCTTATTTGTTTTAAAAGTAAATTTTGTGTTTGCGCTTGCGTGTATAATTAAGAGCAGTGTTTTTCATGGAGGGAACACTTGCGACCACTAATAATGTAAAATTTAGTGTAATATTTAAAGAATTTTGTTTTGGCCATTGAATTTTTTTTCCCGTTCTTTACATTGTCTGAATTAAACGTCGTAGTATATTAGTCATGATAATTTTTTAAAACATTTTTGTCTTTCCATATTATTTAGATGGAAGAAATTCTATTTTACATTTAAATTTCTTATACCCCGTTAAAAATTATTCTTGATCTGTCCCAATTTGAGAGAGAGAGACGACTTAGTCGTCTCCGCACACCATGTTTTCGTTTACTTGGTCAAGAGAGGTGGGTGGCATTGTATCATTTTATCCATGTGTTCCCAAACCCCTCGAAAGGGACTTATTTTTTGTAGTTTGTAGAATAGATTCTGTAGTCTTAGCCAAACATCTCGAGCTCCGTTCTTCATCTTGAGGATAGTTCACCAATAGGAGTTAGATATGGTCTAATACATTCATATATTTATGACTTTGCACCGCAGTTTCCATAACTCAACAGCTTTGATCAGTGGTTTTAATGTGATCTTACATCGGTTGTAGATGGTGCAAGGCTGATGACTTCTTTTTGCCGCTCCTGTGCAAATTTAAATTAAAGAAAAACAAATATTGCTTAAAAAGCCAAGATTTATATACATGATTTTGAAATTTCCTTTAATAAATATTTTTTAGAACTGGGAATCATGTGCAAGTGTACCACAGCCATGCCCAAATAGACATTCCTACACTCCTAACTAGTTATAGTAGTTTCAAGAATTCCCTACATTCCTACATGCCAGGCCTCGAGGACCATTATCTGAGACTTTACCTATACATGAACGTCCTGGAAGTTTGGGGTTGCAAAGGGATTTGTATGTAAGATACTTGCGGGGCGTCGCGTGATCAGGATGGGTTTTGGACGGCTCATTTTGAGTGTTTTTTTGTCCACTGTGCTGCGATCTGCTCGGTGGAGCTGTAATTTTGGATCCCTCATTGCCTGCCAAGTTCCTCCTCATGGCTATTATCTCATTTGATCCACCTACACATTATACATATGTAGAGCGACAAGCCTTTAGGTTTTGTCTCTAAGATACATATTGAAGTAATTAATAAAGTGACACAGTAATGAGTTAGAATTTATTTATACATAATATAATCTAACGAAAAAAAAAAAACTATCTCACTTAATTTTCGCTGTTCCATATGGGAAGCAATGGCTTTTCCATCAACGAAAAGAGACAATAAGATAAAAACAAGAAAGAAAATGATGGACGAGAGTATAGATGCTGCCATCATAATACTAGTGAGTGCGTGATGTGATCACTTTGATTACATTTCAAGCGTTTATAAAGAATACAAGAGAGAGAATAGTTGATGCTATGGACGACTTATGTTGTGTTTGGTCTTAGCTTGGCGTGTCTTCATGTTTACTCGGTCAAATGGGTTTGCATTGCGTTATTTAGTAGACCAACGTTGTATTTTTTCTATACCGTATCAATTTTTCATTATAATAATAGCGACTGATGTTAGCATTTACTCCTCATCTCTCACTAAGTCGTCCATAACAGCTGTTATAAGGTTCAAAATGATTTTTTCTTCTTATTAGACACGGCTCAATTCTTAGCATTTACGTAGAATGGAGAGGTAGAGAAAAGAGATAGTTGAAGTCCATATTCTGATCCACACAAACTAAATCATCTATTATAACTTCAAGTCTCCACCTACTCACTCCCTCTCCTTAAATTATATATAGATGCTTGACATATAATCACATCGCGAGCTTTGATTATCAAAATGCCGGCGTATGTTGTTTCTTCTATCATTTTCTTTTACTTCTCATATTTTTGCTCGTTACAGATGGAAGTGGCGTGGCAACCTAATAAAATTGTGTATAATATGGTTAGACCATCACTAAGTACTTACCGGAGAACTATTTTCAAAACATATATGAGCTCGAGATTAGAGAATCTATTCCACAACAACAACAAAAGTGTCCCTTCCGTAAAAAAATACGTATTTAATTATCCCAATATTAAGTGATCCAGACCTATATACTTATTCGTACATGCGTCTGGTTAAAACTCTTGATTTTGATTAGAAAGTTTTAGTCCAAGGTGTATATACGAATAAGTAAAAGGGTATGAATCTCAACCACGGCTAATGTTTTGAGTTTAAGAAATCCTAATTTGGTATTCAAATATTTTTCAAGACTATATAACTAGGCCCATTCTCTTCTGATTCCCTTACTCAAGACCCAATCATATATATGTACACACGAAGAAAGAGATGTCAATAAGGGAAAATGGGAAATATACCCATAAGGGATAAAAAAGGGAACATAACATAACAAGTCATGTCATTTCACGTGTAAGGTGGAGGTTGTAAGTTGATATTTTGGGCCAATAACACATATCTCAGGAATGTAAAAAAAAAAACAAGAGAAGCACACCAAAAAAAGACAACAAAAAACTCGCACGGAAAATGAATTGTTCAAACTTAAACCTTTTTTATACGATGAATCGCAATTTCTTATGAAGCCAATGCTAAACCGGAGCCTAATTTACGGTCTTAATAAAATATTATCTATCCAGAAGAAAAAGACACCATTTATTAGCAGCCTCTTTAGTCTTTGTTTCCTCATGAGACCTTTGAACGTGCCGAGGACCGAGGAAGTTTCCATTTGAATAATTCAGCTTTCTTCAACAACAGAAAATTCGCCAAACGACGCTAACGCAGAGCTGACCTCAGTTTTCTCCAAATCAAAGTCTCAAAAAACCTAATCTCCACTTCTTTAAAATTATTACAAATCAGCTTCAACGATTCTAGTCGTTTTAGCTTATCTATGCCCTCTCCCTTATCTAAATCCCAACATTACAATGTTAAGGTTTTGCCTTTTGGGGGTTGTCTTGTTGTTCCTCGTTCCTTCTCCGGTCTCCGCCGGTTTCTACCCCAACTCCTCCGCCATTCCGCCGGATCTCCGCCGTAACGCCACCGAGAACGTCTGGAACTCTTTCATGAATTTCACCGGCTGCCATGCCGGCATGAAAGTCAATGGCCTCTACAAGCTTAAACAATACTTCCAACATTTTGGCTACATCCGACAAACTCTCCCCAAAAACTTCACCGACGACTTCGACGACATCCTCAAGAACGCCGTGGAAACGTACCAAAGAAACTTCCACCTAAATATCACCGGAGAACTCGACGAGCTCACTCTAAAACACGTCGTGATGCCACGTTGCGGCGTCCCGGACATAGTTAACGGCACGTCAACCATGCATAACGGAAGAAGAAGAACCTACGAGGTCTCCTTCTCCGGGAAGGGCCCACGTTTCCACGCCGTCAAACGCTACTCGTTTTTCCCCGGAGAGCCACGGTGGCCAGAACGCAACCGCGATCTAACCTACGCGTTCGACCCGCGAAACTCGTTGACCGAGGAAGTCAAGAGCGTGTTCTCACGCGCGTTCGTTCGTTGGGCGGAGGTGATTCCGGTGACGTTCACGCGCGTGGAGGTGTTCTCCATCTCCGACATCAGAATCGGATTCTACTCCGGCGATCACGGCGACGGAGAACCGTTCGACGGCGTGATGGGAACGTTGGCGCACGCGTTTTCGCCTCCTAATGGACATTTTCACCTCGACGGAGACGAGAACTGGATTGTCTCCGGCGACGTAGGCGGAGATAGGTTGCTCTCCGTGACGGCGGCGGTTGATTTGGAGTCGGTGGCGGTTCACGAGATTGGTCATCTTTTAGGGTTAGGTCATTCCTCGGTTCAAGACTCGATCATGTATCCAACTATCACGACTGGGAGGCGTAAGGTTGATTTGACGAGTGATGACGTGGAAGGAGTTCAGTATTTGTACGGTCCGAATCCTAACTTCAACGGCTCTAGATCTACACCACCACCGTCTACTCAACAGCGAGACACCGGAGATTCTGGTGCTGCTGGTGGTATCGACGGCTCTAGACCGGTTTTGACTAGTCTATTGATGTCGACCGTTGGATTGTTTTTGTTGTATTTATAGTAGATTATTAGTCTCTAATGTATATGATTGAATTGGTTATTCTTTTGGTTTATTTTTTTATCTTCTCTTTCTTAGACTGATTCTTCATTCATGCTTTGTTTCTATTTTTATACATAGACTGCTTTTTTTGTGACTGATTAAGAATATATTGAGATGAATTTTATGATTCTCTTTTTATAATTCTCACCATTGACCATGATTACCCAAAACAGAAAAAAAAAAACAAAAAGGGATTGTGATGTATTCTTTAATTATAAGATGTAATAATGTATATGTGAATTGCGAATTATGCAGAGCGTCGGTAATATTCAATAAAATCATATGAGAAAGTGAGCAAGTTGACAAGAGGAAGATGAAAAGGATGGCCACCTCACGACCAAAATTAAAATACATATTGAAACTAAATATATTAATCTAGCTTAAAAGTTGCTTTGATTTTGATTGTAAAGTTCAAACTATTATTTTATTTAATTAAGTGCTTAAAGTTAACAGCAATTTGAAATGGTAATCAATACAAATATTTTGAACAGTAATGGGGAACATTTTTTTCTTTTCTTTTTTGACAACACTAACGGGGAACATTATAACAAAAAATAATGATGATAATTTGACCGTGGCTAAAGAATTTTATCACAACTGTGGAAGCATCGGCTTTGATCTCTCAACAACTCAAGGAATAATTTAAGAATGAATATAAAGGTCAGCTTTCTAACTATCAATTTTTATAATCTTTAATTTGATAAAAAGTTTAATATTAAATAAAACTTAATATTTTCACATTTTTATGTCAATGGATTCTGTTCACCATGTACTAATGCAATATATAAACTTAATGTATCGAAAATTTGCACACACAAGAATAGAAAATATGAATGTTTATGGAAATATTCACAGGTTTTGGACCACATTTTCTAGAATTTTTGGAGGTTTTTAAACTTTGGGAAATTGTTTTCTTATTTAAAAGCTCTATTGTCTTTTTCGACAAAAAAAAAACACTACAAGAATGAGGGGCTTTTCCGTCGAATTATTTACGACGATTTGTAGTCATCGTAAATTTACGACGATCAAAAATTTCGTCGTAAATTCGACGTAAAAAATAACCCTCGTAAAATCGTCGTAATGTTACGACGATATTACGACGAATGAAGAACGAATTTTATTTCGTCATAATATTGTCGTAATATTTATATCGATAATACGACTAATTGTCCTCTATCTTGTAATTGACGTAAAATCGATGTAAATGTGATGTAAATTTTATTTTGACGTAAATTTGATGTAAATATGCAATGGTAATATGTTGGTAACCAAACAAAAAATTTTATATATACCCTTTCTTCTCTCATTATTCCATCAACCCAAAAAAACATATAAAGACACAAATTTTTTGAGTCTTTGAATGTTTAAGTAAAATTTTTAGTAGTTGAAATTTATATCAAATTTCAAAAACAAAAAGTCAAATATTTGTTTTTGAAATGTCTATATACGATCTACGAAAATGGATTTATACACCCAAAAATGGTGATGGGTCGTTGACTGAAGACTTAAAAAACGGATTGGAAATATTCATGTACCAAGCCGGCCTTATGCAAACTGTAATTGAAAGCGGCAAAATGTATTGTCCTTGTGTGAAATGCAAAAATAGGAAACATATTCCTATTGATACTGTCTGGCAGCATTTATTGAATAGAGGGTTCATGCCCCAATACTTTATTTGGTATCAGCATGGAGAGGGATATGGTCAAAGTAGTGGTTAGATGGTTGCACAGAGTAGTAGTAATCATCAAGAACATGTGGATTTTGAAGCATCAAATGATTATCAAAGTAGTCAAGTTCAGGGTGAAGATCATGATAGGATGCATGAAATGGTTACTGATGCATTTCATGAAACACATGCTGATACTGTTGAGGAGCCCAATGCAGATGCGAAACGCTTTTATGATATGTTAAACGCAGCAAAACAGCCTCTGTACGAGGGATGTAGGGAAGGTTTATCAAAATTATCATTGGCAGCTCGGATGATGACAATAAAAACTGATCACAATCTATCTGAAGTTTGCATGAACGATTGGGCAGATCTTATTAAATAGTATTTGCCAGATGATAATTTGGCTGCTGAAACATATTATGAAATTCAGAAGCTGGTTTTTAGTCTTGGATTGCCTTCTGAGATGATTGATGTTTGTGTTGATAATTGTATGCTTTTTTTGAGAGATGATGAGAAGCTTGAAGAATGTCGTTTCTGCCAAAAGCCAAGATATAGACCGCAAATTGTTGGGCGTAAGAAGATTCCTTACCAACGAATGTGGTATCTTCCTATCACTGATAGGTTAAAAAGACTATATCAATCTGAACGGACAGCTGCGTCGATGAGATGACATGCAGAACATTCACAAACAGATGGCAAAATGACTCACCCGTCTGACGGGAAATCTTGGAAACATTTTAACACCGTACATCCAGACTTTGCTAAGTCTAAGCGAAATGTTTATCTTGGTCTTTGCACTGACGGGTTTAGTCCATTTGGTATGTCTGGTAGGCAATATTCATTATGGCCTGTGATTCTTACGCCATATAACCTTCCTGCAGATATGTGCATGCAAAGAGAGTTTTTGTTTCTAAGTATATTAGTCCCTGGTCCAAATCACCCGAAGCGGGCCCTTGATGTGTTTTTGCAACCACTCATACATGAGTTAAACCAGTTGTGGCATGTTGGAGTACGAACATATGACTGTTCGAGTGGTAAAAATTTTACAATGCGAGCGGTGCTTATGTGGACAATAAGCGATTTCCCGGCATACGGAATGCTATCAGGTTGGACAACGCATGAGAGGTTATCATGTCCTTATTGTCTTCATAGGACTGATGCATTTCAGCTTAAACATGGTAGGAAAACCTGTTGGTTTGATTGCCACCATCGGTTTTTACCACCAAACCATCAATATAGAAGAAATAGGCGTTTGTTTATAAAGAACAATTTCGTCTCCCTCCACCAGTGTACCTAACTGGAGTAGAGCTTGAAGCGCAAATAGATCTCCCGCCAATGCAACAAGATGATTGTGTCGACATTACAGAACCTGATGTTGAAGAAAATGTTCTTTTAATTGATCCACGTAATCGACAAGTTGAAGATCTACATGGGGACGAAACAGAAGAAGGTGCTGACGAATTTCAAACAAGCAGTGATGATCATGACGATGATGATGAGGAGAACGAGGAAAATGTTGAAGACTAATTAAGTATGATGTTGGCATTTATATAATTGCATGCTTTGAACGTTTAAATGTAACATTTGTCAAATTTGATAAATTTGTTTAAATTTAAATGTTTAAAAAATGAAAGACAATTAATGAAAAGAAAATTTGTTTAAGTGTTGACTTGGACATATGTTGACTATTACGACGAATTTACGACGGTTATTTGGAAATCGTCGTAAATTTGTCGTAAAATGTAAATCCTAAACCCTATAGGGTTTAGCTTTCCCAACTCACAGAATGGTTTTTGGGTGCATTTTCCTGAGTAAACTAATGTATTATATAAGGTTTTGTAGTATAAGATTAAAGAACTTGTAGATATGTGGTTTATGTTACGACGAATTAACGACGAATCACACCCATTCGTCGTAAATTCGTCGTAAAATACCATCGAGTTTACGATGAAATGTAACCCCTAAATCTTATAATCAATCTTTTCTGGGGTTCAGGGGGGATTTAGATGAAGAGAATGATATGGCTTACCATCTCATAAGGTAAAACAACTTTCTAAACAAAAAAAAAAATTTCAAAATTTGACTTATCAAGTAATATTAAAGGTGTAATATACATTTAGAGAAGATGTAAGGATTTATCTTAGATCAAACCCAAATTCTTCATTATGTTATGTAAACATGTTAGAAAGTTATACAGACCACATTTAGCATATATAGACATGCTTGTATGTGCTTATGGATGTTTCAATTTTTGTAATTCATCATTTTTGTACATACCATCGTAAAATCGTCGTAATATTACGACGATATTACGACGATTTTATGACGATATGTAAATACATAGCCGTTATAATTTTTATGATTTATAAGGATTTGTCGTAAATTCGTCGTAATTTTACGACGATTTTACGACGACTAACCCTGATCGTCGTAAATTCGTCGCAAAGCCCAGATACAGCCACGTGTGTTTGTCTAATTCGCTTTGTTGTACGGTTGCACCTTTACGACGGATTTACGACGATTTCGTCGTAATGTTTACGTCGGATTTACGACGAATAAAAATTCTATATATATGGAAGCACCCCTTCCTCATTTCGTCGCTCATTCAACTTCTTCCTCTCCCTGTTTCCTCCTCACTTCGTTGCTTCCCTGCAAACCCAAAAAATCAGGTAATTTTTTTTTTACTTAAATCTAATTTTTATTTTTAATTAGTTTAGAAATACAAACGGTTTAGGTCGGAAATTAGTTTAGGCTCGGAATTTGTTAGATTTAGGATCGTAATTTGTTAGATTAAGGATTTAGGGTGTTTGTTAGATTTAGGATCATAATTTAAAATTAATTTATAATTTCAAAAATAAAAATTTTCCGGTTTTGCAGACGATGACTCGACGGATGATGCACTACATCAACTTTAATGCGGACAGACACTCTTCCCAGGCGTCTGCCTCGGGAAACACCGGGACCGATGTCCCTTCATCTTCCGGAGCCTCCCAGGTTTCGAATACCGTTGCGGAGCAGTCTCCACCACCACCTCCACCACCACCTCCACCACCACCTCCACAGCCGGCTGCCGAACCGGTAGCCCACCCTCCTCATCCGTATGCCCAATTTACGGTTGAGGACTTACTAGTCCTACCGGGACGGGGGGCTTTACGACGTCTGGTTCCCGGAAAAGCGGAACCAGACTCTTATTGGTAAGTAAAATTTTTTATTTTTTATATTTTTTTAAATTAATACTTTAATTTACTTAAATATTAATGTAATGTTTTTTTTTTGTTTCATAGGTTTAACTTAGATAATTTTGTCGGTCAGAGCGTTTCCGACACAATTAAGAGTCATTTTGTTGAGCCGCACTACAACTGGAGCAAGATGTCGCAAGAGACGTTCGACACCTAGTACAAGTGCTTCGCGGTAATGTTTTTTAAATCTTATTTATATCATTGCAAATTATTTTAAATTTAATTAATCTTACTTTTATATTGTTTATATAATTTTTTGTTTTCTTTTGCAGCAACGGTGGAACTGGGACATCGGGATCAACGAGACGGTCCGCGAAGCTTTCCGGCTGAAGGCGCAAAAACGCCTAGTCAACACCGTTATTATTTCATTTTTAATTATTGCTATAATTTAGTAAATATAAATTATTTAAGTAATTAAATATAAATTATTTCATTATTATTTCATTTTTAATTATTGCTATAATTTATTAAATATTTTTGACTAATGTTTATTAATTGGTAGGCCGAGGAGAACGGAGGATAACTTCCTCCAATGACGAAGCTCTTCGAGACCACTCACCGGAAGAGGAACGGGAGCTTTGTCGACGCTCGGTCAGAGGAAATCTACAATGCCGCTATTCAGCGGATCGCCGAGCGGGAGACCCAGGCCACACTTGACGGTACTATCCAAGTACCGTTGACCGTTGCTGAGCAAGACAAAATTTTCGAGGAGGTATGATCTATTTCAAATTTTTTAAAATTTATTATATTTATTACTTAATAAATAATTAACGTTTTTATTTCCATTTATAGGTTGCTCCGAAGAAGAAGGGCCGAACCTTAGGGATGGGCTCTATTAGAGACTGTCCTGCCGCCTCGGCTTCCGGATTTCGCACGCAGAAGGATCCGAGTCATCTTCGCCAGGAGCTTGCTACGGCCAATGCTGAGATCACCACTCTCAGACATGAGCAAGTGGCCCAGAAGCAGGAGCTCAGCGAGATTCACGATCTCTTCGACATCATTGCGGAAGCGGTTCTGCAGTTGGCCACCGCAATCCGAGCGAGGCAACAGCGAGCACGATGCGTCTTTGAGGCCGGTGGTACTTCCGGTGGACCATCGGACCAGCAGACGCAGGGTCAATCTTCGGCTCCGGTAGTGCAGACGGAAAACGACGGTCCATCAGCGACGGGCGGCCAAGACGGAGAGCCTCCTCGTGACGTCGATCTCAACCTCGACGATTACGAAATCACATTGTAGATTATGTTTTTTTGTAAAAAATAATTTGTATTAAATTTTTTTTATATATAAATTATTTTCGAATTTAAATTTTAATTTAAAATGTTTTTTTCTATATTTAATTTTTTATTTATTTTAAAAATTCATTAATTAAATTAAAATCGAATTAAATAATTAATTTATAAATCGACGTAAATTCGTCGTAAATTTACGTCGATCTAACGTCGAACATTTTACGACGAATTTACGTCGAATATGTTTACGTCGAATCTACGTCGAAACTTTAAGACGAATTAACACCGATGATTAAAAAATTAATTACCCTTAATTGAAATTGTTCGTCTCCTAATCGTTGTTAAATCGATGTAATTTTACATCGATTTTACGTCGTTCTTATGATGGACTTATTTCGTTGTACTTTCGTTGGAAAATTTACGTCGAGTTTACGACAAATTATTTCCGACGATATTACGACGATTTTCCTGGGTTGGTAATTTTGCGACGATTTTACGACGATTTTGGTTTTACGACGATTGTTTTACGACGATTTTTTATTCGTCGTTAATTCGACGTAAATGCTCTTTTACGTCGATTTTACGCCGATATCTGCCGACGTAAAACTCGATCTTTCTTGTAGTGAAAACCCTACTCCAACGTCCTCTCCCTCATCGTTAGGGCATCTCCAACCATGATATCCATGGTTGGGGTTCATAGCAATTGTTTATTAGTTTTATTGCTTATTGAAAAAGGAGTCATCTCCACCTTAAAAATGCCCTCCATCAATGAACCTATATTTGAGTATCAATTAAATATAATAGTAATATAATTTATAAAAAAAAAAATCGATTTTTTCAAAATTAACATTACATAATTAAAATTACATAAAAACAACATTAGAATACAAATACAATACATGAAGCACTTAGAAAACATTAGAATACACAAACATTTAAAAAATACTGAAATATGAAATCTTAAAAGAAATAACAAAATACAATACATGAAGCACTTAACCAAATTTATGCCATATATGTTCAACTAGATCATTTTTCAATTGCTGATGAATATCGTTATCACGAACTTGATTGCGAATCCCGATCATATTGCCAATATTTGTGGGCATATAGGTCGAATACGTCATATCGACTTGTGAAGATCTCGTTCCTTCTCCTTGTTTAAACTCTGATAGATCATTTTGGGTGTTGGATTCTCTTTCGTCTTCTACTATCATGTTATGTAAGATGATACACGTTCTCATAATCTTGCCTATTTCTTCCTTATCCCAAATAAGAGCAGGGTTTTTGACAATAGCAAATCTTGCTTGCAAGACTCCGAAAGCTCTTTCAACATCTTTCCGAACAGATTCTTGCCGTCTAGCAAATAACTTTTCTTTCTCACTTTGTGGAAGGTGGATAGATTGTATAAACGTTGCCCAATTTGGGTAAATACCGTCGGTGAGGTAATATCCAAGTCGGTACTGATTTCCGTTGACAGAGAACCTGACTTTTGGAGCTCGACCTTGTAATACGTCATCAAAAACAGGTGAGCGATCGAGAACGTTTATATCGTTTAAAGTACCTGGAGGTCCAAAAAAGGCATGCCAAAACCAAAGATCGTATGATGCTACAGCCTCCAAGACAATTGTTGGTTTTCCTGAACCCCGTGTATATTGGCCTTTCCAGGCTGTTGGACAATTTTTCCACTCCCAATGCATACAATCGATGCTTCCAATCATCCCGGGGAATCCACGATCCTCTCCTTCATTAAGCAAGCGTTGAAGATCTTCTCTAGTGGGTCGTCTTAAATACTCATCCCCGAAAGATGATATGATTCCTTCCGTGAAATGTTCCAAGCATGAAATTGCTGTACTTTCACCGAGGCGCAGGCATTCGTCCACTGCATCCGCAGCACTACCATATGCTAACATACGAATTGATGCTGTACATTTTTGTAATCCCGATAGACTAACTCTTCCAGTGGCATCTCTCCGTTGTTGAAAAAATGGCATTTCTTGGGAAAGTTGTCCCACAATACGCATGAACAATGACTTGTTCATTCTGAAACGGCGGCGGAATAAGTTGGGCGGGTATGTAGCATCTTCACTGAAGTAGTCATTCCATAAACGGATATGACCTTCTTCACATTAATGAAACAGATGTCTTAACAATGTCTTAACATAAAGGTAAAGCCGCTTACATAACTACTGATTGTCTTAACTTAAGGGAAAAACCGCTAAAACACGTAGCAGGTCATCATAAACTACTTAAACAGGTAACACAGAGCAGCAAATACACAAAGAGAGCAAAGCATAAGATAGCTTTCACCTTGACGTGCCATTTGTTGCTTCAGAGTAGCAACTTCTTCAGCGAGCACACGTATCTCCTCCCTCACTTCCCCTTCAAGCACACTGACCTCCTCCCTCGCTACTCGAGTGGTGGGTTGAGGTAGTATGTCGAACATGGTCTCCCTTTGGTCTTCAAGTCTTATCTCCAAACGGGAGATCTGTTCGATGACTGCCTCATCCCACCACTTAAAGAGATGCTCATATGTCTCCTGCACATTGTCGGATGAGGTGGTCAGAAATTGTAAAACATGGGCATAAATATATCTAAATAAACTCGCTCATCATCTTACCTCGTTAACGTACTCAGGACATCTGTAATATTTGCGTCCAGGAGTCCCACTAGTCCCACCTCTGGCCACTTCAATCTTCAACGGTTTACCACAGAAGCATTTCTTGGGAATGCCGTAGTTGCCATCCGCGTATGCCCAACGCATGTCTTGCTCCGGTTCATCATCAGAGGATGGCTCGCTCCAGCTCATCGGCATCCTGTTTACAAAACAATATGCTTTCACTATCACTAAAAAACAATACTTAAACAATAGTAATCAAGGCAGGTTTAAGCATCTTCGAAACACTATCCCTAAACAATACTTAAACAGATATGCTTTCACAAACGAATAGGTGAATCAACCCAAATACAATACGATTTATTGATCACACTTAGTGATCAAGCTTAGTGATCATTACTATAAAGCGTAAACACTAAACCACAAAACAGATTTCGAGTAAAAACACAATCAAAACGAGAGGAAAAACCCCGAGTTCCCCTAAAACGACAAAGCCCTTATCCGTACTCAACAAAACTTATCGATTTACAACTACAAATAACCGATTAATCATCACCATATTCAATCATTCATATATATCAATCAAATCAAAAAGCCCTAAATTTTAAAACCAGAAATCGATTTTTCCCCAAATTCAACGAAACCCTAATTTCGAATCGAAGAACAACAACATTAACACTATACCCACGAATAGAAATCAAATTGGTGATAAATCCCTACAATAAAACCGAACAAAAACACTAAATCGGTTTTTCCCCAATTTCCCCTAAAACCCTAATTGCAATTTCAAGAAGAACGCGAGCAACCACTCGACAATTACCCAGAAATTAACTAAACGGAGTCAGATGAACTTACCTTTCTTATTCGGCGGCAAGAAAAGGTTGGAGAAAATGCTGGCTTCACCGGCGGCGTCGAATCGCTCTGGGAGACGAGGAGATATGTGTTCGACGACTCAAAAAAAATTTCAACTCCAAATGAAAAAACGAAACACTTTACCCCTTTCTTCTCCACACAACAGCCAATGAGGTTTCACCATTTGTCCAGTCATATCCGAATGAGACGGGTTCAATAAACTCATTCTACTCATACCATCTCACTCGATTTGGGCTTCAAAAATAATTAAAAAACAAGATCACACAAAACGGGCCCACTTATGAAACCTTTTTGAACCTCCGTTGGAGGTGGCCTTACGTATTAAAATAGAGTTGAAAACTACTCATATTGTAAGAGATAACGAAGAATGATAAATGGTTGTTCCTCTATATTCTAATATGACACTTTACTTTCGAGAAAAATACTTCTAACTTATAAGCATAGATTACTTCTTATAATTCCCCATAATATAATGCCAAAGCATGTTACAAATTATTTATGACAAAATACAAATTATAAGAAAAATACAATAATCCAAAAAATCGAAGTTAGGAACAAAAGGATATATTAATTTAATACAAACACATCATCACGCGATCACACTAACGACACATGGTCGATTAGTACCCCCACCCTACTCTACCCTAAACCTTTTCTTATAATTAACTTTCACCTTTCTGAATAATTCTCCATTAACACCAAATTTAAATGCTTATAGTTAACATCAATATATTATAAACTCCCCAAATCTTCCCTACCTCGGGATACGACCCGTCGTATAAAGCAAAGCATATTCACGATCATTCCCGACAACAACAACCAAAAACAAAAACATAAAACTCTCTCTAGCTAGCTCAATAACAATGGGTTTGCTCCCATGTTCTTGTCCATTGCCTTGCAATAAAACAAGATCAGAATGTCAAATGAAATATCCTGATATCCAATCAGAAGCCTCCACGTCATCGACGCTCTTGTCTCAGCCAAGTCTCCCATCAATTCCTTCACTGTCTTCTCTACCACAGAGCTATAACGTTGATCACCAGTGCTTAGCTACACTCAAAGGTCACTCCTCATACGTCTCTTCTCTCGCTCTCTCCGAGACATCGCTCTTCACCGGCTCTTCCAACAGCGAGATACGTGTATGGCCTCGTGAACCGCCGGAATATTCCACCGGTAACATAGTTGGCGCCGGAAACGGAGGGGTTAAATCTTTGGTGATTCTCGGAGACAAGCTAATAAGCGCTCATCAGGATCACAAGATTCGTGTATGGAAGATCGTCGACGAAAGTAGCCGAAGAGATCAAAAGTATAAATGCGTGGCGACTCTTCCGACGGTGAACGACCGTTTTACGAGTCTCTTCAGTCAGAAAAGCTACGTTGAAGTCCGACGGCACAAGAAGTGCACGTGGGTTCATCACGTGGACGCCGTGTCATCTCTGGCCGTGTCACAAGACGGCTCTCTGCTTTACTCTGCTTCGTGGGACCGGAGTTTCAAGATATGGAGAACGTCCGATTTCAAATGCTTAGAGTCTACCGAAAAAGCTCACGACGACGCGATAAACGCTATCGTGGTGTCTCGAGACGGGTTTGTCTACACTGGTTCGGCAGATAAGAAGATCAAAGTGTGGAACAAAAAGGACGACATGAGACAGTACTCTCTGGTCGCTACTCTTACGAAGCATCTCTCCGCGGTGAACGCGTTAGCGGTTAGTGAAGACGGGAAGGTTCTTTACTCAGGAGCGTGCGATAGATCGATTCTTGTTTGGGAGAGAGTAAGCAACGGAGGTGATGAGGAAGTACATATGTCTGTGGTTGGAGCTTTAAGGGGACACACGAAGGCGATTCTGTGTTTAGCGGTTGCGTCTGATTTGGTTTTGAGTGGATCAGCAGATAAGAGCTTGAGGGTTTGGAAGAGAGGATTAATGGAAAAAGATGGATATTCTTGTTTGGCGGTTTTGGAAGGACACACCAAGCCTGTTAAGTGTTTGGCCGTCTCGGTTTCTGCTTCTGATTCTAATTCTGGTTATTCTTGTATGGTTTATAGTGGAAGTCTTGATCTTTCTGTTAAGGTTTGGAAGTTAAGGGTCTCATCTGTTTAACTACTTAATTATTGACAGTCTTTGTCGTGACCATTGGTTAATCTCTCTTATTTAGTATTTATATTCTTGAATGTGTTTTCTGATAATGGAGCTAGCTAGGACTAGTCATAAACCTACCACACTCGGTCTTATCAGAGTTCACATTACAATTTACATGTTCGTATTCCTTCATCAACTAGACCATTCATATAGTCCGAATCCAAACAAATTAATGAGATTTTTCATTTTTGATTGTTGACTATGTTATTGGAAATGAGTCATGAGGGCCTTCACTGCTTCACACGAACTTATGTATATACACTGAATTTTTCTTAAAAAAATAATCAAGACCATGTGGTCTGGTAGTTTTGTGATTTGTGTTTGGTGGAAGTTATTACAAAAGACATTGATGAATGAAGTGTTGAAACTTTTATAACGAATCACGTAGTTGTGTCTTCCACTATGACTGGATTTGTACGTTAAAATATAATGATACTCATCCAAATATATATATATATATATATATATATATATATAATGATAGAAATGTGTAAAGTGATTTTTTTGAGAAAAAGAAATGTGTGTAGTGTTGCACAAAAAAAAAAAAGAATGTGTATTGTATCATACACGTGAAGTATTGGGGAAAGAAACCCTTTATCTACTAGATAATGACATCCACCTTGCACGAATAATATTCACTACATTTCTACAATATTATTAAAATAATATTACTATTAAAAATTATGCTAAGTTAACTTAAAAAACTAATATTAAAAATGTTTATTTTTGGTTAATCTCCGGTTATTTTTCCTATCTGTCGGATTCGGGATTGTTGGAAGATCTTTCTAGAGAGAGTTGACATCTGAGACATAAGTTATCACGTATGAAATGACAAACAATCATGACAAACTAGAACATCCGATGATGTTTCTGTAAAAGACATTTCGACGATCAAATCAGTATGTAAACTGATGAAAGGATTATAAGATTTTTTGGTGTGTGAAGCATTAATTTGGCCGATCAACCACTGAACCCGGTGTAATAGGCCATTCTTTAATATTTTCTTAAGATAGTTTTACTAGAGGGTTTTATGTGTTTTACAGTAAAACACTTCCATTTTACACATGCAGCTCTTGAATCTTGTATCACTGCGCTTGGAGGTTTACTGTTTTGGGCTGTTTTGATTCAATTGTTGGGCTTCCAGTTATAAGGGTCATAATCTTCGTTGTGTGAGAATCGTAAGCATATGATAATTTTTGTTGTGTGACCCTCTAACTCTAAGACCATGGGTCCCAGTTCCAGTCATTTTCGTAATAGGAATACTGATATTTTAGTGAAAAAATTTAATTATAATGTAATACGTCTTCATCTCGTGAAGTGAAAGTAATATTTCGAAAACTGCAAATATCTCGTTCTCCGATGTTTCAATCTAAAATAATCAAAGACGGTAAAGTATTTCTTAGACATTGTTTTTAAAACTCTTTGTTACAAATCCATTGTTAATTTACCAATTACTTTAGAATACCAACGAAAGATTTGGAAAATTCACTTGTTTATAAGAATCTGAGCCCAACATAATGATGACCGTCTGATTGTGTTCTATTATCCCTCATCGTTGTGTTTTTGATTTTTTAACACTCAATCAACAATAATATCTCATGTGGACCGTTTTCTTATGAATAATCGGTAGAATATTCCTGAAAAGTTGTACACTGATGCAAGCCAGCATCACAGCCTTTTTGGCTAGATAGGACAGGAAAAGGAAAAGAAAAAATTAACAAATTTGATATTAGAGATGGTCCTTCTTAATCACTCGGTTAATTAAGTTGGAAGGATACTTAAACTAGAGCATCAATTCAAACCACATTGTATATCGTTAAAATCAACAACACTGTTACAATTCGTATTTCTTGTTGTCAACAAACTGTTACTATTCAACAATATTTAAACCGTAAATCCTGTTATATTTTTAGTTTTACCGTATAAAGGTAATACTATTTGTATAAACAAATATTCCCATATAAGTCACATTCATTTCACAGTAAAATATTACCTGTTGCTGAGTGTATACAGAAGAAACGTATAATAAATCTAATTAATGGGTTTCAATACCTACTTTTGTCCTTTTTGCTATGTTTTATCAAAAAATTAGTAACAAATATTTTCTTATGGTAATTTTTGTTTCCTAAAAATTTCTTGTTGGTATTACTTCACTGTATCCATCGAAGACGTTAAACTTGAACCACTCATGTAAGTTGGTTGTTTAAAATCGTTGAAAAATGTTGTACGTTGTAACAAAACCAAACCCAAACAGAAACATACATTTGAGGAAAATGATTTTAAAATAAAGGGTCTTACTCATATGAGTTGGATAATTAATAATTATTAATTGATAACTTTTAATTTATTAATTAACAATTAATCAAGTGTTAATTTTATCTGGAAACCTACCGTCTTGCTCCGCGTGATCACTACGCGCCCCCCAAAAAGATGCCAAAACAAGAAATAACCTGCGGCCATAAAATCCAGCGTCCCACGCGCCGATATCACGCGCCGAACAGCGTACTGTAGTGAAAATCCAGAGAGTTTTTTAAAAAAAAAAAAAAAAATCTTCATCTCTCTTGCGAAAACCAAACTATTTCTCTCACCTAAAATTTCCCCCTCCGATTTCTCCTTTGACAGTTCAGGCTTATCTCTCTAGGATCCGGCTCGGAGAGATAGAGAGAAGTGGCGGTTCTCTTCCGGCGTCATCTAGGGTTTGTTAGCTGCTTTCCAGTTCGAATTTTCTCGGAAAGAATTGCAGAAATGAAGGAGAAATCGAGAAGATAGATTACCTCTCTGAGCATCCTGAGATTCTTTCGTTAGAAGTGGGATTCTAAAGGTTTCTTGTGAGGTTTTCTTTTGTAATTCCGGTTTGTAGCGGAAAAAAATGCCAGCTCATAGATCCAAGTCGGAGAAGAAGGATGCCGAGAAGCAGCTTCGCCGGGACCCTTACGAGGTTTTAGGCGTCTTGAGGAACTCAACGGATCAGGAAATTAAGAGCGCCTACCGGAAAATGGCTCTCAAGTAAGTGTATTGGTCTCTAAGGTCTCGTTCGTTTTCATCTTTGAACTAGCAAATTGAAAAGCTGCGTCAATCTAGGGACGGAAAATTTCAAGCTTGTTTTAAGGAAAGACACTGTGAATATCAAATCTCTGAAAAATCTAAGTAGAAGAAGGTTAGGCTACAAAGAAGACGCTTAAATTGAATCAGATTAGGCTACAGAGAAGACTCTTCAGTTGAATTTACCAATAAAGTTTGGCAACCAGTTAATGGCTGCTTGTTAATCTGTGATTTACTCACGGCTTTGTAGGATACACATCCTCTGCAGAAACATTTTCTCCTCGTGGCTGCTTATCTCTGTTTTAGCTTTGTTCCAAAATTAATGTTAAGTGTTTCAGGTACCATCCTGATAAGACTGCAAATGATCCGATTGCAGCCGACATGTTTAAGGAGGTCACGTTTTCCTACAACATCTTGTCTGACCCGGAGAAACGCCGTCAGTATGATACAGCTGGCTTTGAGGTGAGATTCGTTTGTGTTGTGGTATTGTAGATTTACTCTGACCTCTACGTGAGGCAGGAATTATGGTTCCTTGTCTTCTGTGTAATCATAGATATCATGCTATTAATTGAGGTTAAGATGGGGTTCAAGAAATTCTAGGATCCTTGTCTCTAGAAATACTGTTGTTCTCTGAGGGGCGTTCTTGATGTGTGATATGCCTCAAAATTCTTCCAGCAGCTAATGTGTGCCAGCATCAAATTTCAGACTTTGCTAATTGCAAAACGCTTCTCTTTCACAGGCTGTTGAAGCAGAAAGCCAAGAGCTGGAGCTGGATCTCTCAAGTTTGGGAGCTGTCAATACTGTGTTTGCAGCTTTGTTTAGGTTGGTTTATTTTAATGTGGACTTCTGTTCGTTCTCTGTGGCCCTTTTTTATATAGCTGGACATAGATTTATTAAAAGCAAGCTGAGTATGTGTTCTGAAATTCCCAACGAAATAGCAAACTTGGTGTGCCGATAAAAACATCTGTATCTGCAACTATCTTGGAGGAGGCTCTTAATGGCAGAGTTTCAGTTGATCCTCTTTTACTTGGGCAAGCTGTAACTAAAAAGGTGAGCTATTGTAGCCGATGTCTGGCTATGATTGCGTTTGTGTAATATCTCCATATAAGTCTCATTTGTGTTATGGTTCTTACAGGTTGAAAAGCAATGTGCACACTTTTATGCTGTTACAATAACAGAAGAGGAAGTAAGTTCTGGGTTGGTCTGCAGAGTAGAATCATCTAGCAAAAGCAAATTCAAGGTTGGCTCGGCAGAGACTTTTCCCATCAAACTGATATGGACATGCCAAGTATTGATAACTAACGTGTGCGTCTGCGTGTGCAGTTACTGTATTTTGATCAAGAAGCCAATAGCGGATTGAGCTTAGCCCTGCAGGTAATGGTTTTATTAATTGAAGTGAAAAAGCGGTCTTTTACCAGTAGGTTTTTATATACCAATGCAACGAATGTGGTTTTGAATGTAATAATAATACTAATTTAAATGCTTTGTTTCTTCTTGTACTCTGAACACTGAACAGGAGGACAGCAAAAGAACTGGCAAGATAACATCTGCTGGAATGTACTTTCTTGGTTTCCCTGTCTACCGGTTGGATCACACAAATAATTCGGTAGGTTCACTTCACGATTTTCCTTAATAATTGTCACTACGTTCTGCGGGATGATTTTCTTATTTTCTCACACTTTTTTCCCGACGTGACTTGATTTTTATTGCTCTAGATGGCGCAAGCAAAGGATCCAGAATCTGCCTTTTTTAAAAAGCTTGATGGATTTCAGCAATGTGAAGTTACTGAGCTAAAGGCCGGTACTCATGTCTTTGCTGTCTATGGTCAGTTTTCTCGGCTTGTAATCTGATTACAAATTCACCTCTCTTCTCCCTTTTATATCTGGTTGTATTCAGGACTCGATTGATCCAGTGACATG